GGCGCTGGATGTAACCGCATCTTTCCTGATGGTATACCCATCTGATATTCTGTAGCTATGACGCAAGGTAAAACGGTGGGACGAGGAAGGCAAAAAGATACGATTAATATCCTGTACGTTTAGATCTTTTCGCGCGACAAATGAAAGGGGTAGTGGGAACAGATTCATTGACTTTGGATCCGGAATGGTCCAGCTGGTCTTTGCCCATGATCCCGCCATTGTCTACATATATGCAGCCTGAATATGATTTCTTTTGTTCCTTTGACTGGCTTGCCAGTCTCTCCGGTGGGGACTGTAATCGAAGCCCCAATCTCCAATCTTGTCAATAATCCGGGGTAAAGAAGGGGCCGTACGTAGAGGGCGAGATCGATTTCGGCATCGAAGGAGCAGACATGGACCGGGCACGGCATTGCCGCGTATTGCCCCGGTTTCTAATTACTGTCTGATTCTGGTTTCCATGTGGTAAGGGCTTGGGACCAAATTCTCCACCAATTTAGTTCGAATGTCTGCACTACTAGATACTTCTTGCTCAGGCTAATTCAATTCGTAGAATAGTGCGCTGGTCCTTCAATGACTTGCGCCGATGGGCGGCCGAATGCGGGCATGCCTTTTTTTATCGATAAGCGAGCGGTCTTTCCGTCCCGAATTTTCTTCCATACCCCTCCAACCATAGTCCATCTCAATCCACCCAAAAGCCTAACAATCGATTTTGTTGAATTGTTTGCACAATTTCTCTATCATCGCCCAGATGGCTTCTGCTAAAGACTCGGCTCCGGCCTCCTGCAAGGTCATGCTTTCCAAGCATGTTGCCAATCGCCTGCTCGAGGAGGTTCAGGAGGGCGTGAAGATGCTTGAGAAGCCGCCTCACCTGGTCGGATTCCTTGCAAACAACGACCCTGCGGCTTTGATGTATGCCCAATGGACGGAGAAGACTTGCATCGAGAAGTGAGCACTCTTTCCCATTTTCTTTTCAGTTGGGCGTCTCCGTTTCTTTCTTCTGAAGCGTCGCCCCTATGACTCCCCAACCTGCGATGTCGGAGCCGGTGCGGCAAGCGGTGGCATCGGGGGTCATATATGAGTCACGTCGTAGCTAATGTAGTCTTTGTTTCTTTACCGTATAGTGGATTCCGCTACTCCCTCCGTGAAGTTGCCCGGGACGATCTCGAGCAAGCCATCCTCAATGCCAACGTCGATCCCGATGTTGACGGCATCATCGTATACTACCCCATCTTCAACAACCGCCAGGACCAGTACCTGCAGCAGATCGTCGACGTATCCAAAGATGTAGAGGGTCTCACCCACCGGTACATCTTCAACATGTACCAGAACATCCGCTTCCTGGACCCGGAAACCAAGCGTCAGAAGTGCATCCTCCCCTGCACTCCCCTGGCCATCATCAAGATCCTCGAGTACCTGAACATCTACAACACGATATTGCCCTATGGCAACCGTCTCTTCGGCCACACCATCTGCGTGGTGAACCGCTCTGAGGTCGTGGGACGCCCGCTCGCCGCGTTGTTGGCCAACGATGGTGCCTGCGTGTACAGTGTCGACGTCAACGGCATCCAGAAGTTCACGCGTGGTGAGGGCCTGAAGAAGGGCAGACACGAGGTCGTGGAGCTCGAAGGCAAGACCCTGAAGGACGTTGTGCCCCTCTGCGATGTTGTCATCTCCGGTGTCCCCGGTGAGAAGTACAAGTTCGACACCAGCCTTCTCAGAGAGGGTGCTGTGTGCGTCAACTTCTCCAGCGAGAAGGTATGTTTGCCAATCGATCCAGAGAGGTCTATCTTTATACTGCAGATATATCTGACATTGATTTGAAACAGAACTTTGGACCCGAGGTGAAGGAGAAGGCCTCCATCTTCGTGCCTTCCACTGGAAAGGTGACGATTGTTGTCTTGCTTAGAAACCTGTTGGTAAGTAGGACATTCTCGCATCATCTTGATCAAGAGCTCAGCAGCTGACCGTTACACACAGAGACTCATCCAGAACAAGAGAATGGATGATGTGAAACCCGCCGAGGCCACTGAGCGCCCGGGCACTCTGGAAGCTGCCTCGTAAAAAACCCTCACTGGCGATACCTCTTTTTCATTCCACAAAAATATAGCACCGAGAGACGATATAGCAGAGTTAGCCATAGATTTTCTTACATTCCTCTATGCTGTTTGAGCTTGATGAACCTTCATGTAAATCACCTTGTCAATGAGACACTGTTGCGCTGTTTTGATCATGAGCATCCGTGGATTGAAAAGTCTGAGAGGGGGGTAAGCTTAGCGCTACAAAGACTATACCGTTGACTATACCGTTAAAAGCAAGCCATGGAAGGTGGTTATGTTCTCAAACCCCAGTCAAGCTACTATCGCAAGAAACCCCGCAAGATAAGATTTGGAAAAGAGAGCCTGACATCACACCAGATACAATCCCAGACGTTGCGCCATTTTGACATGCAGATCCAATCACCCCAGATGTTTCTGTTTGTGGTAAAACGGAAGGCTTATACGCCATGTTTTCTCACTTCCTCTTCGTCGCACTTTTGCCCCCTTCAACCGGCTCCGCCTCCTGAACAGCGACATGACTCGCAACGCCGCCCGTCTTCTTCTGAATCTCATTCGTCGCAAGCCGCAGAACCTCAATCTCGCTCGCCAACCAGTCGCGGAGCGGCTGGATGTGGAAAGTCCCGTCGGCCGCAAACCACTTCGTGAACGACGTTTCGATCTCCTTCTCCTGGATGACCTTGCCCGCCGGGGACGTGTACTGAACTTTGAGCTTGTAAAGCGGGGAATGTTTCTTGACGGAGGAGCGGATTATGATCTAAAGTTATCGTAGCAACAAAACAAGCATTAGCCCCCACATACAGACGCTCTCGAATGGTTTGGTTTCTATTCCATGCACTGGGGGCAGGGGTCCAATGAACATACCGTTTCACCCGACTTGCGCTTGCCTCGAAACACCTCGCCCGCCTCAACAGCCCAGATCCAGTATGTGAGCATGGAGTTGAGAATGAAGTACGATGCGACGGCCGCCAGAATCCACGGCGAGCGAGTCGCCTCCCACTTCAGCATGCGGTCTGCGTAGAAGGTGAACCCGGCGATGGCGACGGCCGCATAGCCCAGCACCAAGCGCACGTTCAGCATGGTGTTGTCTTGGGTAAATCGGTAGGGTTGCGGGAGGGTGGTGAGGTGCGGTGCCAGGGCATCGTCGGTGGTGGATTTTAGATCTGATCGTAGGGCTGTTAGTATAAACTGGCTTCTATTAACGATGCAACTTTGATCACAGAGGTTAGAGGGCAAGCTGCTGCTACTGCTGCTGCATTGGGAGTATTCGAGCAGCAGGCCTATGAAGTAAACATGCATGCATCAACTAACCATTGCTCGAATAAACAGGCACCTTGGGTGCCTCTGCGGACGACATTGGTAGATCCCCTTTTTGGTAGGTCAATATATACTAGCAATTCCTTTAATCCAGAGGGATAAGCTTCTGGTAGTTGGCGTTCCTTGAGATAATTTGAAAGGTGACGGTCTTTGTCGGAGTTGCGGCGAGCTGTCCCTTTCGCAAGCTAAAGCGGCATGCGCCAAGGCAGTAAGGCCGCCGCCGCCCGTCCACCCCATCCAACTTCGTGGGGGAGCTTCCCCGTTTCCCTCAGCTTAGTTCTCTCAGCTTCTTGGTTCGAAGTGAGCGACGAGATTTGCCCCTTCTCTAGTAACCACCTATCAGTTCAAATGGCATTGCAGGGGGTAGAGCAGACGATCCTTCGGGATCCCGCTCTCTTGTACGTTCTTGATCCCCAACTCCAGACGAATTAATGAACCTGGCGTGGGCAAGTCGAAAGCTGACTCGGCCTAGCTATTGGATCGTATTCCCCATTACGATTGTCATGGTACGCTTCATTAACCCTATTAACTACCCTACCTTCTTTCTTTCTTTCAAACCGCTAAGACTTCGGAAAAGATTCTCACCGGCATCCTCCGCCACTACGCCACCGTCCTGATGAACAACCCGCCGAAACCCGCCGCAACGCTGGCCGAATCCCGCGAACGCCTGGGCCTCATCCGCGGCGTCAACTTCCGCAACAACGCGTACGTGCTCAGCCCGGAGTCGTGCGAGATGCGCCGCAAGTTCCTCATCTCCGCCTACCAGGAGGGGGCCTTCCTCAAGGACCCAGAGAACCGCGGCCAGCCGCCGGCGAACCCGATGACGGATCCCGCGGGTATGGAGGCGATGATGGGCATGATGAAGGGAAACATGATGATGATGATCCCGCAGACGTTGATCATGAGCTGGATCAATGCTTTCTTTTCGGGGTTTGTGATTTGTAAGCTTTTTTTTCTTTTCTAGTTTACTCCTTTGTGTGTGGTTGTCGGGCTCGAGAGCTGACTTGGGGGACCGATGCAAAGTGAAATTGCCCTTCCCTCTTACCATTCGGTTTAAGTCGATGCTGCAGTCCGGTGTTATGACTCGGGATCTGGATGTGAGATGGGTGTCCAGTCTTTCCTGGTACTTTTTGAATCTGTTTGGGCTGCAGTCTGTATTTGGGTTTATCTTGGGGAGCGATAATGGTGAGTCAAGTTCCCGGCATGCGACACGATTCTGTGTTTGTGTAGGGGGTAAGGGGAATGATTTGTGCTAATCGAAGGTATGGAAAACAGCTGCCAGTCAAATGGCTCAACAGATGGCTGGTATGAACCCTGCGGCCGGCATGAACCCTTTCCAGCCGGGTCAGGACCCCGATAAGATGTATCAGAATGAGGCGGAGAACCTTGCGGTCATGGAGCACTTCTGCATCTTGGATGGAATTGAGGAGCGCATCTTGCAGAACTATGGCTCCAGCGAAGCCTATTAACGTGGTCGTTCTTCGGGGGGTGTAGACTTGCTTTTGCTGTGGTAAAGCTCACAATGTCAAGCTCGTATTTAGTGTGATGACGCAGATCAAGGCAATTACTTTGTTCTTTCAGAGATGTTATACTACTATCAAAATCTAGATGTCAATACATGAAAATAGTGGCTGTTCGCATAACTACTTTGAAGGGTCGTCACTGCGGAAGTCGCTCATCCCGCAATATATATCTACACTACAGTCTTCCGCTATACACTATATCTAACGATAATTAATCACTCCATCAAGAACCCATACCTCACCATTTGAAACCTTCTCGGCAATACTATCAACCTCGACATCACCCGGCTGAATCTGTACCACACCGAAATTAGCCTAATCATCCACCCCCGATACCAGGTTGGGAAAAACCTACCCGAATCTTATCCCCAACCCTGGACCACGTCAATTTATCCCCGGCCAACGTCTCCGCCTCCTCCCCTTCCTTCCAGGGACTCGTCACCACCACGTGGGCCTTGACGAACCGCTCCAGATTCCGGGTGGCCCGATCCTGGCCCTCCTTCCCCTCGTACGCCCGCGCCTCCCCAAACCGCGCGATATCATCCGGATTCTCCCACGGCTTGCGCGGCAGCTCCTGGATGGCGCTGTTGCGCGGCGCTAGCACGGTGACATTGTGGGCGGCGTCGTCGAGCCGCGCCTCGACGGCCTCGAACTGGCGCGTCAGCGAGGCGAAGACGTTCACGCCCCGGGTCTTGGGGAGCACGTCCGAGAGGATGATTTCTTTCCCATCGGTGTTTCCTGTGTCTTGGGGGCGGTCCTCGGGCGGGAGCACGGCGTTGGTGGAGGGGTTGCTGCCCATGACTGCTGGTGCGCCTGCTTGTAGGGGTAGTTGTAGTTGGCTGGCGAGCCACTGCTTCAGGTCGAGGGTATTGCCTAGGCGACGATGAGGTCTCTCGCCGAGTAGGCGGGGAAGGCGATTGCGGAACTGTAGGTCCCAGGACGCTGCGGAGGCTGTGGGGATGAGTGTTACTATGAGTAGAAGGACTAGTAATATTAAGGTTATTCTCAAGTAGAGACTTTGCATCGTGACATGGACAAAGAATTGATGATGGTGGGGTTGGTGGTTGTAGATATATAGTTTACTGTCTACAGTTGCCAACGGGTGGTCAGCGGCGCGCGCGGGCCCATGACGCAACGGGGCCGGCTGGCGGAAAACCCACACGTGATATCTATCGATAAGGGTCTTAGCCTGACAGCGTCATGTTTCCGGTCGCGGAGTTTAGCAAGAGCGGGGAGTGGGAATCTGAATTTCCCCATGCAAGTGACAGTATAACTCCTGATCAATCTTGCGCAAATACACAAAACACGAAAAGAAAACCCCACGCATCCAGCATGTCGGCATTGCAGACTTTCCTGCTGGTCGTGGACCACGATAAGCAGGAGGCCAAGCAGATTGCTGAACGAGTTGCTCAAGGTAAGTTTTTCTGAGAAACTTCTCTCTCTTCTCAAGAGACAGGCCGGGTAATGAGACTCTGCTAACTTGCACTCACGCAACAATAGATGTGGAGAATAAGAAGACGACACTCATTGAAGTCGTGCAGTCGCTAGGGGAATATATCAACGATGACGACCCGATTCTTCGCGGCAAAGCGGTTTCCTACCTCACTGCGATCATCAAGGAGCTGCCCGCCAAGTTCCTCTCGAGGCAGCAGATTCAGGTTCTGACGACTTTCTTCTGTGATCGGATTCAGGATGGAGGAGCAGTTGCCGGATTGGAGACGTTGCAGAAGCTGGATCGGTTCAATAAGCCTCTGGCTGAAGAGGTTGCTCGGGCGTGAGTGCTTGCTCTTCCCGAGTTCGAGCAATGTGCATTGCATGGGGCAGAGGGGGGCTGACTTGCGCACAGGATCTTTGAACAATTCGAGGATTTGCAGTCTCGTTCCCAGTCTCAACGATTCCAAGTGTATCAGTTGCTGAACGAATTGATGCTGAATTATCGTGGCGGTGCGTTTTGGAGACCATCCTATCTCTCGGGGCTACGGGCAAGAGCATACTGACTGGTACAGCACTTCATGATATGGGGGACGAATCTCTGGTTGGAATTGTGGATCTTGTTACTGGCGAGAAGGATCCCCGGAACTTGATGATGGTGTTTTCCATACTCAAAGTGGTCATGGTGGAATGGGACATCTCCAACCATGCGGAGGTACGTGCTGCATGGAATCTGCTGGGGCGTCTGCCAAAGCTGACCTCTGAAGTTGCTGTTTGACTCGGCCTACAATTACTTCCCTATCACCTTCAGACCCCCGCCGAATGACCCGTACGGCATCACGGCTCATGACTTGAAGGACCGCCTGCAGGACTGCATTTCCTCAAACGGCCTCTTTGCGCCGCACTCTATCCCTTCTTTGCTGGATAAGCTGGATTCGACTTCACCAAATGTCAAGGTATGCTGTCTACGTTTTGGGTGAGCATTGGCTTCAGGCTGACTTGCTCAAAGAGGGACGCCCTCAATGCTTTGATCGCCTGTATCGAGTCGTACGACCCTAACACGGTGTCCCGCTATTCCATCACGATATGGGAGACCCTGAAGTTCGAGATCCTCAACGCCCAGGAAGAATTCCTCTCCGAGCTATCCCTCCAGGTGCTGACGGGTATTGCTAAGCGTTTGTCGGAGGGTGTCTCGCAGATCTCTGATCAGTTGCCTCTTGCACAATATTTGCGCCCAATCACCAAAGAATGTAACGAGCAACTGCGGGAGCCTCAACAGAAGCAGGCAAAGCCTGCTCAACAGATCCTCGGCGCTATCTCCTCTGCTTCCGCTCCTGCATTCACGCTAATCATCCAGGCAGTTGTGGCGCCTCTCTTGACTATTTACCAAGAGGCTGACGGCATCGCCAAGCAACGAGCTCTCCTGGATACACTAAGCGTTCTCTTTGACTCCTCTATCAAGGTGTTCGGTAAATGGACCTCGCGCGACGCAGAGGTTGCTTTCGAGAACCCTCTGTTGGAGTTCAAGGATCAGTTCTCTGAGATCTTCGGCCAGGCGTTGATGGGTGCTATCAAGGAAGAGGTCTCGTTCCGCATCTCTGCGTTGAAGGGCTTCCTGCGTTTGTCAATTCTGCGCGACTTCTTCCAAGACAACGAAATTGGCCTGTTTGTGCAATATCTCGACGAGATCCTTTTGAAGGAGGAGTCTGTTGGCCGTGACGACCTTAAGAAGGAGGCGATCGATGCTCTGACGGAGATCTCCAAGCACAAGCCTCGCTTGATCCTGGACATCACGTTCCCGGCGTTCGTGGCCACGCTACCTGACTCGGTCGAGGAAGCGGACAGCGGCTACCTGAACACCCTCGATGTGCTTGCCAAGATCAGTGTTGAGAAGGACATTTTTGAGACCTTGGTTCGAAGATTGCTTAGCAAGCTGAACATTCTGCTGCAGCAGGAGCAATCAGGCTCCGTGGAATACCCCCGTGCGATCCTCCTCACTATACTTTACGTTATGAACCAGAGAAAGATGGAGGAAGACCCGAACCTGGAATTCTATTATGACAAGGTCGTGGTCAGCCTGTGCCGCAGCGCCGCGGTGACTGCTACCTCAACCACGACGTCAAACAACATCCTCAGCGACGCCACCGTCCTTGACATCCTCGGACGCGTATGCAACCTCCTTGTCCGAGCTCTGCCTAGAAATAAGCAGGACGAGATCGCGCAGAATGTCTATACACTCTTCACATCGGCCGCGGAGTTCCAACCGGTGCCCTTCGCGCCGTCGCCCAGCGCCGACCAGAAGCGTACGATTATCCTGTCGACATTCATTCTCGCGGGGCTCCCAGCCGACGTGCAGAACCTGCCCTACACCACCGACCCCAAAATGTCCGCCCTCCTCACCGATATCGCCACCCGGGCCACTGGCGAGACGGAGCTGGCGACCCAGTACGCCTTCCTGCGACACCTGGCTCTCCTGGCCAACAAGTTCCTCCCCAAATCCGATCTGCCGCTCGCGTCGGACCTGTTCTATACCCTCCTGCCTCCCGGCAGCGAAACCAACAAAGTAGCTCCCGGCACGATCCACACCCTCTTCTGGCTCTCCAAGGGCCTCATCCTCCGGCTGGCCCCGACGACCACCCCACTCCTCACCTCCCTCCTAACCCTCGTCTCGTCCCCGGACGAAGAAACCAGCCTCACCGCCGCGCGCAGCTTCTCGATCCTCCTGCGGGACGATGAGATCCTCTCGGCCACCAACGGCGCCAACATCCGTCTCCTAAGCAAACAACGCGTCTTCACCACCCTGACCCCGCTCATCTCCTCTCGCATCCGCGAAGTCAACATCTCCACTTCCTCCTCCACCACCCCCCAAGAAACCCAAGAAACCCACCATATCAAACCCGCCCACCTAACAGCCCTAAGCGGCATCCTCTCGACCATCACCCCGGACCTCGTCCTCCCCGAACTCCCCACCTTACTGCCCTTGCTCCTCCAATCCCTCGACCTATCCACCCCGCACTCCACCCCAGTCCGACTCGCCACCCTCTCCACCCTCGCCGTCATCATCCGCGACAACGGCGTCCCCGTCATCGACAAATGCGGCCACGTCCAGAGCCTCGTCACCCGCCTCCTCGCAACAACCGCCTTCACCCCGGCCAACCACCACCCGAAGCTGCGGGTCGACGCCCTGACCTGCCTGTACCTGCTGGCGCAGGCGCCCACGGACGCGCCCGCGCTGGCGCGCGCGGGCCGCCTTTCGCCGCTCCTGGCCGTCAAGAGCCAGGTGGTCCGGGTGTTGCGGGCGGTGCTGGATGATCCCCGACGGGACGTGCGGAAGGCGGCGGTCGATGCGCGCGCGGCCTGGTTGAGGGGCGTGGATGATGCGCCGGAGGAGGAGGATTGATTTCCCTCTCTTCTTTATTCCTTAAAAGGTCTGTTCAAGGGGAGGTTGTTGTGCTAGAGTGCAGGTTTGTTGTTTGTATATGTGGGCCCGGCTGGATTATAGATTCAAGATTCGAGGGTATCGTCTACCTGTGGTGTGGTTTGATGTCAGGTGGGATGGGGAAGTTGTACAGTATAATAACTGTACATGGATAAGATACCGATACAAAATACAAATTGAAGGATAGATACACTTACAGTCAGGAATTTAGATGAGCATGGTTGTTTTTCGAGTACTTCAAGTGGAATCGGGGTATATGGTACTATCAACTAGATGATAGCAGGCTCCCTTGGACTGTGCAATAGTCAGGATTATGGCATGTCCTCAATTTGATCACCTAACCTGACGTCCTCTGGATCCGTTATTCAGATGCTAAAACTTAATGTGCCGTTTTGTTTAATAGAAGTACGAGGAAAGCCAAGTGGAATTGCAAATTATGAACTTGGAACTATCATCAACCCGCCCCTCTCCCTTATACCCTTATACCCATCTACCCAAGCCACCCAACACCTACTGCAGGGACAGCATTGAACTTCAACCCCGGCACCCATGAATCTTTAAATACAGCCTGGCTTCTTCAACTCCCCATCTCCCCTGGCGTTGCGGACCCCCCAGAAACAGGGCCCAAGATCCTGCTCTCAACGCCCCGTGTTAAACCACTAGAAGTCTCAGCCTCCTTACTGATCAGCCTCCTTACCGATGGGAGAAAAATTCCTCTTCTTGGCCGCTGACACCGTAAAAGACCCAGCCCCGTCACTTCTTCTAAAGCAACGCAGAAAAGCCAGCATGCGCAGCATCGGATAGCAAAACGGGGAGAACAAAAGAACAGGCAGCCCGTGTACTCGAGGTGCCCTCATCGTCAAATCAGTCCACTGTCCTTGCCATGTACAGGGACCCTTTCGAAGAAGCAACCCCTACCACGTGACTCATAAGAAAGGCTCAAAAGGTAGACTACCAATACTCCTGCGGCGAAAAGATATCCACCTGCGCCGGGTACCGAACGATCCCCTTGGAATCCACCCGGGCACCTAGAGTTTCCTCACTGCTCTGCGAGTCATCATCATCACCTCCATATGACATGCCGACCACGCCACGTGCCCGAGCACTGCTTCGGAACGAGGCGGTGGTGGTGGTGAGAGGCTCAAGCGGGACGTCCATCCCGGGTCGAGTATTCCAATACCCTACCGCGTCGATGCGCTGGATCACTGTCCTGGCTAGACGGAGCATATCTCCGAGACCGGCGTGACCGATGTCTTTGGCGACGGCACTGGGAGTCTCGTCTTCAGTCTTACCCTCGTTCGTAGTTGTGTCACCGATCAAAGCAGCAGCGTCGCGGCCGAACAGGTCAATTCCGCGCCAGTCAGTTGTGGGCTCGCCAATTTCGAGGTCGGCGTTAGAGTTAAGAAGAGAGTCGATCGCAGGACTGACCAAGGAGACCTCATACCACAGTCGGCCGTTGTTCACCATCTCCGCCGGTGCTGTGGCACGAGCTCGCTTGACTTCTGGCTCAGTATAGTGTTTCCCCAAGAGCAGGTCTTGCACTTCAGTGATCTGCAGGAAGATATGGGAAGTTGTATTGATGTCATCCTCATTGAGGGCCTTGTCAGGACTGGTAGTCACAGTAGCTGAAGCCTGCTCCCGAGCAATACGGGCAGCAGCCTCGTCGCGTTGCAGATGACGGTGGCGAGTCCAGCGCCTCATGTACACCTTCTCCAGTGTCACTTTATTCTCCATCTCAGTGGGCAGACGCGTGTAGATGCAAATGAGGTTGCGATCCGGTTCGACCCATATGCTCTTAGCGAGGTGCTGGGCGATCTGTTCAATGTCTGGATTGCTATCGCCAACAAATCCCGTCACTTGGTTGACCGACATATTGGCATCCCACGTGTTAGCTGGAAAGTGAAAGGTGACCCCTCCCAGTTTCTTTCCCGGCTCCCGAACGCTGTATCTCCCATTTTCGTCGATGACTACCATGTAAAGTTGATTAGATCGGGTGCGGAAATGGAATTCATAGGACACGCTGTAATCCGCGTAATCCTGCTCAAATAGACGAAGTTTGCCATCGGCTTTGGAAGTACGGATATCCACAATATGGTCAATATCGGCACCAGAGGTCGTGAGTCGCTTTATGAACTTGGTGGTTGGAGCCGAGAGGCCGGACTGTGGACGAAACAATTTTGTCCAAGCATCTGCAGTCAAGTTTTCTTGTCTGTAGGACTTCGGAAGAAGGGGTACCAGAATCAGACCGAATTGCATCTCGACGTTCTTCGCCCCGGGAAAGCACACTGCCAAGTCGAGGATGGGGATGATAGCATCATAGATATTCTTCACCTGCCGTTGTATACCCTCATCTTTCACTGGATCTGGCTTCGGCACGACCAAGGCTTGCACAGTGACGCTTGCAGCTGGCTCCGGACCTCCAGGAGATCGGATGGGCTTGTTCTTCGGCTTGCTGATGCCCCAGGAATCCTCTAGTGTCGCTTGTCTTCTTGCCTTGGCCTCGGCTTTGCTTTCAGCAGTGATTGCACTCTTCGGAGTCCTGTGCCGGGTGTTATGGAACTCTCTGGAAGTGACCTCGCTGGAAGACTCTTTTTCCGAGCGCTGAGCTCTCTCCAGATCTGTAACCATAGCCTTTACCCATGCCTCGTTCGCTTGACTGCGCGAGGCTGCGATATTCGGCTTTTCGTCTGCAGTGGGAAGCACTTGAACTGCCGCTGCATTGTAGCTCTGACGCAAAGCATTGAGTCTTTTATCTTGACTTATCAGGTTGCTGCTGCGCCAGGAGGCGGTTTCCAGACCAGACCAGGAGTCACTAGAATCTAAAAGATTACTAGCTCCAATAGTCAACCCGGCAAGGTCGGACGTGTTCTTGTCCAGCAAGATTGTAGTATCGGAGCCACTACCGCATGATGAAGATGCTACGGGAAGCAGTGCGGGCTGGTCAAAAGAAACAACTTGGGTGCTGGTAGTGTTGCTTACTGGTATGTCGATATCGATCAATTGATTCTGACGGGCGGCCTTCCGTAGTGCGGCTGGACCGGTGCTGAGATTACCTCGTCTACCGAAGGCCCGTTGTGGAGATGATTTGGCAAGACCGTACTTGGTCGAATCAAACTTTGACGATATAATGCTCCGATTGTCCTCCGAGGAACGCGCTTGGGCCCGAGCTTGAGATTGGGAGTTAGGCGCCTTAGCCTCCATCTTGAGGCTCTGCAAGCCCTGGCCCCCATTTTTAACATCATACTGCATAACCCAGCGTCTACGGGGTGAAAGATCGTTTCCCTCCAGACCCGAAGATGCAGGTTTTGGCGATCTGGGTTCAGCCATTGGAAGAGTTTTGGTAGAAGCTGGTCTTGTTTCCGGGAGCGAGGGAGCGGCCTGTGCCTTCTGCTTGATACTGGCTGGAGCAACCCTGCGCACTTTCACACCGGCAAGTCTCTGAGGCTCGGTTGCTTCGGACCTGTTGCGTTGTACACGGGCAGGAGTTCTGGGAACAGGAGCCTGGAGAGTTGGAGCTGGACCTTGAGTACTGGGAGTCTGGTTGATACCAGGAGCCACGGATTCCTGCTCAGGGATATCCTTCTCCACTCGCGCCCCTTCAACAACCCACTGGTTCACCTGCTTCGCCTTCTCAACAGTCAAGTAAGGGTGCAGCGAGGGTGGGACAGCTACGGTCATCGCATTGGTTCTCGGGTTAGCGCTTTCAGCCAATTCATACACTGTATCGTATCCCTCATCACTTCCAAGCGGCTGGAAGGTGAAATCATTCCAGATGCGAGATTTTCCAGGGTCGTAAAAAAGATGGGGTGGGTTCGCCAGATTGGGAGGTAGTTTCAACGCGTGAGTTTCTCCGTCGATCGAATATTGTACCGAAACATACATCTCACTAGGATCGAGGTGTGGGTCGAGAGTCGGATCAGGTAGAACTCGACGCTCGGCGATCGGGTTCAAGGTGTTGTACTTCACGAGACGATAGCGCAACGCCTCGTCTTCCGGCGCCACAAGAATGTTGGTCGTGATAGGACGATGGACACAAGCCTAGCACAACAGTGAGCCAGTGCTGCTTCGGAATGTCAAGAAATGGACTTACCAATGGCTTCTCAACCCGAGTAAGCTTAGCCAGGGCGTCATCTACATCCACTTCACTGGTACCCGTGACTTGAATTCCATTTGTATCGTCGAGCATAGTTATCTCGGTTGAAGTGAGGTCGGCAATGCTAGCAAGTAGTTTCCTGGATTCGAAGGAGAAACACCCCACGCCGCCATTCGGTGATAGCCAGAGTTTGGTTATATGGATAGATGAGGTTGGGATCAGTTCGCAGCCATCCTCCAGGGATAGGTTCATTTCGTCCTCATTGCTGAGGCTCTGGAGACTAGATGTCATATCTAGCTGGTAGATGCGTGGTTCCTGCATCGAAGGCATGAAGTCAGTAGATGAGTCGGTCAAATTGCCAAGATGACAGGGGATAGAAGGGGTCACAGTCTAACATCAAGCAGGTCTTTGTATTCATTGCCGGAAATAGTATCGGAAACAATGCCAGCGATTTGTTTTGTGTAATAATCCACGGAACCTTCAATGGAGATGATCTTGAAGGGTGAATAGGTCAGCGAAGCTCAGACAGAAGGATGTCACAAGTGAAGCTTGCATCGTAAAGTTTGAGATATTCAAGATGGCAATCTGGTTGAGATGTTGCAGTCCTGACAGAATTAGGTCAATAAAGGTGGGCCAGAAGCTGATTAACAGCACGTCATACTTAATTTCTTCACTAACTTCCCGAATCTGAATCAAATTGTCAGATTAGCATAGTCTTTCTTGTGAATACAGCAAATACTTACACCGATAGGCTCAAAGCCCCATATAGAGGCGAGCGCCAGCCGCTGTTCCATTTCGGCAAATTGACTCCAACGAAGGCCAGAAGTGAGGCCCGCGGACGACAGCAGACGCGTATCCGAGGCAGGCCTTGGTCCTGGATGCCAATTTTACAGAATTAATGTATGAAGATCGTGGCAGCCAAAATCAGAGGAAGTGTATCGCGTATGAAATCGACTTGATAGTAAGGAGAGCGTAGGATGAGGTAGATGGGAAAAGAGAAGACGAAGGAGGCAAGTGGGAAGAGGGAGGGAGGAGGGGGGGAAAGGGAAGGGTAGGAGCAATAAATGTCGTTGCTCTGAGGGACAACACCAGGTGACACTGAACAGTGAACTCCAGGCGGACAACCAGGCGACAACCGGTCAAGTACGTACGACGACACCGTACGATGACAGTGCGTAATGGCAGTGCGCAAAGACACTGCAATCAAAACAGATAGCGGATAAATGCAGCCAACGGTTACTCCTTTACCATCCTTGCTGTCAAGCAACTAGATGGTTTGTCGTTCCCAAAAGTGCAAGACAGAACATATTAGCATAATGTTTCATATGATTAGATGGGTATCTATCAAAGTATACTGAAGTATATTGTAACTGGACAGCACTGTACTTTGAACAAGATAGTGACAAGTAGGGACATGACGGTCTATGTTTCCCAGGGTATCAAGCACTCCCAAACTCCTTATATCTCCCAGAGACATGCCAGGGAGCAAATATGAATAAAATAACGGCGGGTAAGAAACAGATGAAATGAAGGTTGGAGATGAAATGGGAAGATAAAAGAGTACAAGAATGGAATGCAGAAGATGCAGGTTTCATGGCCCCCCATCACGACTGCCAGGTCGATGCAGCGGATTAGAAGGGTTTCCATTGGGATGCTGCTTGACTGCAGGCTCGAGATCCTCCACGATCAAGGTGGTCAACGTGCCCGCCGTTGACTTGAGCCTGTCAATCGAAGGGGCCCCTGGCAGTAATAATTGCTTAGACCGTCATAAACTTGGGAATATTCATTGCGCGTCTTTGACTTGCTGCTTGAGTTGAATGACCCACTTCATCTTTCCTTCGGTCTCTTTCAGCGAAGTCAGGGCGGCGTCGATCTTGGCATCGCCTTGCCGGCCCGTCTCAATCAACGTTCTGAGATCTTCGTCTTGCGTCCGCTTGTAAACCTGGAAGTTGGCGTATAGCAGGTCGAATCGCTCTCGGTTGAGCTCAATCTCCCGGTCCTTCTCGGCCATGATCGCATCCAGGCGCTCCAGCTTGGTGTTCTTGTCGTCGAACTGCTTCTTCATGGTCGTGATATCATCCCTGATCGACTTGAGCCGTCTCTGCTGTTCCGCTCGTTCCCGGTGTGCCGATTTGGCCAGAACATCGTACTGGGTCCGCGAATGGTTGGAGATCTCCTGCAACTCGGCGCATTTGCGGTGGAAATCGTCCCGGGCGACCCCCATAAGTTGATTGACTTTCTTGGCCTCGCCCTCCGCCTGAACCCTCCGGTCCTTCTCGGTCTGCACCTCCGCGCGTAGCTCGTCAATCTTCTTGTCTTTCCGCACGATCGAATGGAGGTTCGTCTCGTTCGCTTGCTCGAGGTTCCGGAGACGTTCGGTCATGTTCTGTACCTGAACCTTGAGGGCGTCGTTCATGCGCTGCGTCTCTTCGGCGCGGGAGCGATAGAGACTACACTCCCGAGTCAAGCGCGCGACCTCTTCTTGAAGGTTATGGATAACGCGCCCGGACTTGCCCGTGGCCGCATGACCGACAGCCGACGACCATTCAGTTGCCGAGGGATCTTGGTTGGTCTCGTGGTTCGCGAAGCCGTTGGTGCCGCTGGGGGACGTGGGTCTCACGGGTTCTGTTTTCGCAATACGCATAACTGGGGTTAGCCCCTCGGTAAATTATGGGTGAACGATGCGCCGCTGGAGGGTCTATCCAGCCGACGCTGGGTCGCAAATCCAGACGGAGGTAAACGTACCTGGGGAGGAATCGGCGGGCGGGGCACCATTCGGCTGGTTGGGGGTAGAGATTTCATTGAAGAGTCCATTGTATTGATGCATATTCAACTGCGTTTCCACATGGGGAAGGCTGACACGAGGCGCTCGACGGGGATCTGACGTAGGCAGCGAAAGCATGTCCGGGTCAGCATGGGTGGTTCCTGGCTTGGGTGACTTCTTGCCCCGACCGAATCGGGCCATTCCGACCATAACGGGAAATGGGGTGGAATGTTTGGGTTTTGGGATGAAGGTGATAGCGCCGCAATTGGCAAAGGTGCAGGAAAAGAAGAGCGGAGCAGGAATCCGAAGCAGGAACCTGCTCCAGAGAAGGAAGAGGGGAGTGAACCCAGGCCGGAGAGCAGGCGTTTTGTTGGGCCGCAGTAAGGGGAAGAAGGGAAGGAAGGCAATTTGGATTTTGACAACCAGCCCGGCCCCGATCCTGTAAACACAACCAAGCCAAACCAAACGCAGCTGGCGGCGCACACCCACCCGGGGGAAGTCAACAAAAAAATTGTTGGAAGGGGGGAGGGGAGTGGCAGGGAAAGGGGACGGGACGACGACGATTGAATGGCGACGACACAGGACGAAAGAAGGGGGAGAGCAGAAAAGCACATACCACGAAGTGGATCAAGGCTTGATTGCAGGAGATCTGCAGCAGGAACAGTTAAATGATGGTCAGTCTGATGCTTATTCATCGCCGGACATCACAATTATTCTCCGGGGGGGGGTTGCGGGTGGTGGATGAGGAAGAGGGACTGCTGGAAGAGTGGTGAAGAAATGCAGCAGAAAAATCGATCGATGAGGAAGTTGGTCTGTAGGTACGGATGTAAATTGCTTCCCAAAACATACCGTCACTGTCCAAGCACAACGTGGGGTGGCGCCAGCACAAACTGGGCTGATTAATCTGAAGATCCTGGCAGATCCAGTAAGAATAGATAGACACTGAAGAAAAAATGATCCCAAAGTTGGTCAAACTAGTAGTTTAGAATAAAAGAAAGGAAGACAGAAAGAAAAGAAGAAGAGGAGGAGGGGGGAGGGAGGAGGAGGAGGAGGAGGAGGAGGAAGAAGAACAGAAGGGAAAAGAGTGAGTGAGAGAAAGTGTAGTCTTATTCAAAAAACAGTACGGAGTAAGTAACAGTAGAAGATGATAGATAATGAATGACTGGTAACAATCAAGAATCCTCACATTAAATGAATAATATGATCGATCGGCTGTCAAGCCTAAACTCTCGTGCCGCCACTAACCAACCCAACTGGTCAACTAATGACCGGTCATGTTCAAGACACCCAATCCTTTGTCTTCCCTTTGGTCCGCCTGATTACCGTTCGGGACTGTCATCTACGAACAAAGTACAATTCAGTCCTGTCAGATCATTTATTAATAGCAGCAGCGGCAGCACTGTGGATTATTCAATCTGATCGCACAAAAATCGAGCACTTTGAAGGCGTCTTGAGCTGATCTGCAAGCCCAGTCCCGAGAAAAGGATTGTGGCTCGCTCTCGGCCCGACCCCTGTAGTGTCTAGAAAAAGATATATATACACAACAGAAGAGAAAGAGAAGCAAAAATGGAAACCTCAACCAACGCCTGTCGCCCAGAGCAATCACAGCACCGCTCGGTCTCATGCGAGTTGATCTGAAGAAGAATGATTAACCTAGGCACACACGAACCAAGTTCTGACAACCAAGACAGACAAAGTTCAATGCCTGCCAAGCTCCACCGGGAAGTCCGTCCAAGTCTACTAGACGAGGTAAACCACCATGGCGAGAGCACCCAACACGAAGCCCATTCCCGTCGCGCGAACAGAGGCAGCACCACTCTGCATATAGGCAGCCATAGCAGTCTTGCTGTTGGCGGCTCCGGCTGCGTTCGCACTGGGGTCGTTGGCGGCATTGACGGTGAAAGTCTGGCCATCATTGCCCTTCTGGACTGTCTGCATCTCATCGTGAGGGGCTGTGTCGGTGGGGTATGCATTTGCGGTCGGGGTTGCAGGGCTATGAGCTGGAGGGATAACCGAGGCTACCAGCGTTGTTGAGCTGGGTTTGAGGACTGGGATGGACGCAGCCTTGGTAGCTGGGGTAGCTGGGGACCCATCGGTGACCTGTAAAAGTCCCGAGTAGTTCACATAGCCGTTCTGCTGGATCTGGAAGGCATAGTCGTCGCCGTTCTCTATCGTGGAGTCCGGAATCCAGGTGAAGGAGCCTCCTTGGGCATTGCTTGCCAGGGTCTGGACGGTGTCCAAGTTCTGAGAATTGCCCTTCCGCAGTGTGACGGTCACGGGCTAAATCAAACGTTAGCGAATGGAAAACAACATCAAGGAGTGGTAACAGCCGTACAGCATCCGAGTCCGTCTGCCACTTCAGGGTGGTAGGCTGGCCAGCATGAATGACCGAGGGCCATTGGGTGAAAGACAAAGCTGCTTCGGCAATCCCGATCTGAGCCAGGCATGCGAAGGCCGCAACAAGAGAGTTTGACGCGCGCATCTTGATATTGAGTCGTGATAGACTGATATCAGAAAGATGATCTTCACGTGTTGAATGCCTTGGATTACTATATTCCTGCTGCAGAGAGATTTCTGGGATGCAGAGCGATATCAAAGGAACCCGACTGACTCTGGTGGACTTGCTAGATATCGAAGGACACAGACTATGCCTTCTTCGCTGTGGTTAGTATCGAAAACAACAATACGTACCTCGTTGACTTGTCGGATCCAGGACTGGCGCGAAGTATCTGTGATCGAGTGAGAGAGCGAGAGCAAGGTAGAAAAAGGACGGCCGCCAGAAGGCTTCAGCCAGAAGATAGATCTTTATTGACGACCAAAACAACGCGTTGCCAAACAATAGATCTGCCTGAATGCCAATGGAGGCGAAAGGGCGCACATGCCGGGCTTGGTTTGTAGCATTCCTGGAGGAAGGCTCGTACCCGGCATGAGTACAACAACAAGCTGGGGAATGACTGAGCAGCACGACTCCAAGGTCTACTGCTCGCTCGTGGCTTTACGGGTGGCGCTCAGCAAGAGAGTGAGTTCATCATGAAAAGCTCGACTCATGCTATACTGCCGACAATACCATCCGAGCAGCAGTGCTGGGAGTAGCTGTTCGTGTCCATCCAGGTGCTGACTGAATACTGTCTACTGCCGTGTGGTTCGTTCTCTCAGAATGGTCCCTTGGATCGTCCAGGAATGCAAGCACTGCTGCGTGGCTCGTGACGATCCAGAGGAAAGAAACACAGCAATGAGAGAGATCGAGAGTCTCACTTCGCCATGAACGAGAATTAACGAGCCGTCGATGGCATGAGCACTATATCCTTGAGGCACGTCATGGGAATAGGGTTCTGAGCATAATCACTCCCTCCCTTCAGACACCTTGATGGAAGGTAGAAAGTCCTTCAAGCTGCTAAACACCACTTCCTACACAAAGTAGACTCATTGTTTTGATTTTCCACCTTGGGGAAAAATGTCAGTGCGGGTGGACGGTGTTTACCTGCAAGGGGCAACACAGCAAATGAGTGGAGAGGGCAGCAGATCAACCCCATATCAGCCACGATCGAGGCAACCTTCGCTCATCTTACCCCTGGTCGATCATCACCGCTCATGAAGTCACCCGGTTAGCTAGCATGTGGTTCATACAGGCCTGATCTTCTATACTAAGTCTTGGCGCATCGATAAGCCCCCAAGACGGGTTGCCGTTCAGGCACAGGACGTTTACGGCATCACTTCTGCTGAACAGACACAGGGCAGACCCAAAGTCTCGCTTTGCCGACTCGCTTCTCAACCAAGCCAGACTTCTTGCGGAATCGCTCACTCACGATCGGGACGGTTAAAGAATCGTAACGGTGACATCTGCCCCCGAATCTCCCGATGCCGGCTGCCGATTACCGAAAGCGGAGATGCAGAGGACTTCACCTCCAGCACGCATTGCACGGGGTCGATTGCCAAAGTTAATCGGCTCTTCAGCCTGATGCAAGCTCATCAAGCTTCAGTGATGGGTCCAGTGACCGGATGCATCACTGGGTCTTTCTCACGAAGGTTACTGTTGCTTTCCGAGTTTCCACTGCACGCTCGTCTGTTCCTTCCACGATGGGGGATGGGGAAGGTGAAAGAGAAAGAAAAGGACGAGCTCAACCCGGATTGATGATCCTGTCACCATGTTCTCTTCTTACTCTCTCTCTGTCTCCTTTTCGCTTCGAAACCAACTACCATTCTTAACACTCTATATACCAATGGCGTAAAAAAAGGTCGAGTCACTCGCTAACATTTGCCACGCTCGTTTTCACACCCTCATAACCTCGTCTGTCGCTACCACCCAGACTCAGCCTTCAATCCGCCACTTCTCTTCTATGATCTAAGTCCGGACTATTTCGAAACCCAGCATCTGGAATGTTACAAGCAGGCATATCCGTGATACCTGTGCCCGGTGTATCATCATCAACATCATCAACATCCACTACCTCCCCAGCAACGCGGAGGATTCCCACAGGAACAACAGCACCCACCGCCCCAACAACAACCACCACCACCTCGCAGACCCAAAGATTCTATCGCCTCAACAACCATGAAAGCACCACGACCGCAACCCCAACGCCAACGCCAACCACCACGCACCACCACCTCATCGAAACCACGCGCCGCACAGCCCTCTACACCCTAACCCTCTGCCGCAACGTAATCACGATCCTGGAACTCACGCGCCTCCGCAAATCCCGCATCGGCCTGCTCCACTGGATCGAGTTCTGGAACCGGTACTACGGGCGGCGGTTCGGGCGCGCGCTGGCCGCGCACGTCACGCAGGCGCTGGGCCGCATCGACGCGCTCTTCCGCGCCGTGGCCAACGACCTGCACCAGCTGACGCAGCGGGTGCACCACGCCGTCGCGACGGCGCTGCACACCGAGCGCGAGATTCTGGGATTACTCGAGCGCATGGAGGACGAGGTCGGGGTGCGGCGCCGGCGCCGGAGGAAAAAGGCCCAGGCAATCCTGGCCCAAATGCGCGCGCGGCTCGAGGCCATCCCCGTCAAGGTTAGTGATGAGTTGCTGGATGATCTCAAGCGCGGTGTGTTTGCGTTGGATGTCTACTGTGATTATTATCCGGGGGGCGAGGACGAGGGGACGGCGGGGGCCACGGCGGGTGCTGCTGCTGATGCTGCGTGGACGGATACCCGGTATATCACGCGGAGGCCGGTGAGTACGTTGGCCGTGTCGGGGACGCAGGCTTGGTCGTCCTCGTCCGCGTCGTCCGGGTCCGCGGCGAATGGGGCGTGGATGTCGTTGTCGATGCCGGTGCATCTTTCCCGAACGGTATGATCGTCGGTTGGGTCATTCTACCGAGCAAAGATGCTCGCCCGTTCTTTTTCTCTGAGCTGATAGACTCTTTGATTTTGTACTCTTGTGTTTCCTTCCCGGGTTAGGAGGGCAGCGATACCACCACCACCACCACCACCACCACACTCCTTCATGCAATCATGCTAGTTAGAATGTGGAATTTGTTGCTTAGATAGAATAGATTAGGTTTAGCAATTACTGCCTTTTTCCCCCTTTCTGAAGTCCGGAGGGAACTACAATCCTTAACCAAGTGTTGGAAGATATGGATAGAGATATATATTTGATTATGTACAGTAAGTTTAGTTGATATCTTGCTTTTAAGTCGTAAACCCTGTGCCGCTACTTAACCCCGCTATGCAAACTCCCACAGCCCTCGAAGCAAACTGCCCGGCGCGGTATCCTCGCCGCCGTCCTCCTCCAGCAGACGGTCCGTGAATATGCGGCGGGGGATCTGGTACTCGACGACGGGGATGCGCTTGAACGGCTTGTCCTCGGAGCCCAGCTCGGCCTGCAGCATGCCCTGGTAGGTGTAGTCGAGGAAGTCCTCGAGGTGGTAGAACTGCTTGGTGAACTGCTCGGCGAGGATGCGGACAATCGCCGCGACGTTGGGGTGATAGTGCGACTGCAGGGTCTCGAGCTCCCACAGACTGCTGTCGAGGGCGCGGGAGCGGACGGGGTCGGGCTCGCGCGGGTCGTAGGGGTCGTCCATGCCGCGGGCGGCGAGGAGGGCCTGGCGGTCGGCGTCGCGGATGGGGCGGTGCAGCATGAAGGCGCAGGTGGGGTGCTCCTTGAGGAGGTTGTAGATGAAGGGGGCGATGGCGACGATGGCGGGCGGCGGGGCGTTGAGGGCGAGGCGGGCGAGGCGCTTGATGAAGCTGGCGATGAGGGCGGCGGGGAGATGGGTCGAGGCGAGGAAGGTGTTCATCAGGCGGAAGAAGCGCGACCGGTGCTTCGAGTGCAGCAGGTCGGCGTCCAGCAGCGAGTACAGTTTCGGGTAGAACTGCGGGTAGTCCAGGTTCTTCTCCTGGATCAGGTAGAACAGCCCCGACAGCGCCAGCAGCGAGGTCGCCCCGCCCACGTTGTACGAGTCCGTCAGGAAGTCCATCAGCAGCTCCGGCCGCAGGAACCACGGCTCGATGTTGTGCACCATGATCCGCAGCAGATGCTTGCGTTGCGTCTCCGACAGGTTGTTGCGCAGGATCGCCAGCCAGGCGTCCTGCGCGTGCTTCTTGTGCGACTTCGCCGACACCACCCGCTTGTTGTTCTGGCTGGTTTTCGTGTAGAAGCTCTCGAACTCGTGCTCGGGCGTGGGTATCGAGTCGCATGCCGACAGGATGGTGATCAAGGTGTCGATGGTTTCGGAGCTGCGGGGAGTGCTTGCGTATTCACTTGAGACCAGACGTTAGCTTAATGAGAACATGCGAGCGGTATGAACGGGGTTGCCATACGAGATCTGTATGAAGGTATAGTAGCGCACGTCCTCGAACTCCTTGGCTTTCTCGATGAACTCGGCCAGCACCGCTTGGCCATTGTTGGCCTCCACAACCGCTTCCACGACATTCTTGAATAGACCCGTCAACCAGATACCTTCTTCTCCGGGAAGATGTGTGGCGCGCTCGTTGACAATGCAGAGACACAAGGTTAAGGCGGTGATCTATTCGACCGAGATTTAGTATATTTCTGGGCACGTTGAAGATGGCATCGCAGGAACGAACCTGAGACGAAGGATCGCTCTCGCGAATGATAGAGAGCAGGGCTTTCTGATATTCCTTGAGCCGCTCCTTCAACCACGCAACAATAATCTTTTCGTTCTCGGCGGCCCGGCTTGACTCGGTCAAGTTTCCTCCCGCGATCAATCGACTGAATACACGACACAGAGCCAACGCAGCGGGGACATTCGGTTTCTTGGCAGATCCCTTAGTGGTGAGCAGGGAAATCAGGGTTGCGATGTTGTTGTAGTGCTTTCGCGATTCGGAGATTTGGTCTTCCAGCCGCTGGATGTCGGCCGTCGCATCGGCGGACTCGGTGTCAGCGACGGCACGGCGTTTCGACGAAGGCACGCCACTCTCCTTGACATTCTTTCTTTTCTTGGAGGCCGTAGCCGTGGCGATCGGGGCAGGCATCGTGAGCAGAATCGACAAATCGCAAAACCGGCGGTAAATGGAGGAGCGCTAGTCCACCGCAGGGCCACTTTTCTTTCCGAGATCAACCATAAATTTTTGGGGATAAGAAGAGAAAGAGAGAATCCCTGCTCCTCGGTTAGGCGGTTTCTCCGGCCCACGACACCAGCCCCAAAGGGGTTTAGTGTCTTCCGCACCGCCCAAACCGCCATCCCGAACCTCGCTCAGTCTCCTCATTTCCGTTCCAAACCCATCCACACCCTGTCAAGGTTCCTGTCCATCGCTACAATGGCTTCGCGTTTGGCTAAGAGCACCCTCGGTATGCCCGCTTTTACTTGAAGCCTGGTCTACCCATTTGACATTGGTCATTAACCATTAACCCCTTCGCTAGGTGCCGCCCGGTTGCGGCCGACCCTTCCCACGCGCAATGTCGCTCCCATCACTGCCACTTTGACCGCGTCCCGTTCGGCCTCCAGCGTTCCTACTGAGGACCCCAAGAAGAAGGCTCAGTCCATCCTCGATGCTCTCCCCGGCAACTCCCTCGTCTCCAAGACTGCCACCCTCTCCGCCGCCGCCGGTCTGTCCATCGCCGCCATCAGCAACGAGCTCTACGTGATGAACGAGGAAACCGTGGCTGCTTTCTGTCTGCTCAGCGTCTTCACTGCCGTCTTCAAGTACGGTGGTCCCGCTTACCGTGAGTGGGCTGAGGGTCAGGTCCAGAAGCACAAGGACATCCTCAACGCTGCCCGTGCCGACCACACCAACGCTGTCAAGCAGCGTATGGAGAACGTCAAGGAGCTGTCCGGTGTCGTTGAGCTCACCAAGCAGCTCTTTGCTGTTTCCAAGGTACACCCTCCCTTGCTGCTCACCTCCGAGCACCGATCTCTGGCGTCGAGTGTGTGGGCCGTTGCTGACGATGACGTAGGAAACCGCCCAGCTTGAGGCCAAGGCCTACGAGCTCGAGCAGCGCACTGCTCTGGCCACCGAGGCCAAGCAGGTCCTTGACTCTTGGGTTCGCTACGAGGGTCAGGTCAAGCAGCGCCAGCAGCGCGAGCTTGCTGACAGCGTCATCGCCAAGATCCACAAGGAGCTCGAGAACCCCAAGGTTCTCCAGCAGATCCTCCAGCAGAGCGTTGCTGATGTTGAGCGTAAGTTGATGATTTGTCCGTGCTCTCATCGGATACTAATATTCGATTCAGGCATCATGGCCTCCAAGGCTCAGTAAATGCACTCGACATGGATAGCTTTGCTATAAGACTCATGTACAAATTAAAGATCACTTCTGTTACCAGTTAGAAATACCAAGTACCATTGGTCGACAATCATGGTATGCCAGTAAGAGCTTACGAATAAGGCTTCGACTTCAGCATTAATCCAAGGTTCTTAGTCGTAACTGTAACTTGACCGCCATGACACCGAGTAGCGCAAGTCTGAGCTCTGCCTGCTATTGCAATTCTCTACATATTCCAATGACCTGCAGAGATAGACTTCCAAGCTAGCCATGCAACGATATAACATATGGAACGATTGAATTACACCTAACCGCATGACGAATACTAACTTAATGGACGCAATGAACCAGCAGGGGTGTCTGTGGACCAAACGCCACGCCCACGTACGTACAGTACAAGCAGTCCCAACAACGTCTCACCTCATTATTGTGTATTCAATATGTGACAAAAAGCAATTAAAACGCGATGAAAGAAATTGCCGCCAAGCCGACAGCCGGGGGTGAACTGGTCCAACCATGGTTTGGCTTTGGGCCGTGGATGAAATTCCCCTTATAACCACCAGGTGTTATTGTTATGATCGATTCGATGGATAGATTGATTGATTATTGTGGTTGGGACAGACTTTCTTTCTGCACACACAACCTCTTCGAATCCCCCCCTCCCCTCCAGCGCTTATTATATTTATTCTTGTTATGCCTGCAGCTTGCCGCGCACCCCAGCCGAAGTAAGAGAGGTAAGAGAAGAGAAGGCTGGCAGTGAATCTCACTGGTTTAACTTCGACTACTCCTACTCCTGCTTTTCCGACTACTACTACTACTACTGACTGCTACGTATGATTTTCATTCTCATCGTGCCTGCTACTCTCCCCAATTCTTCCTCCAAAATCCCTCTCCCTTTCCTTTTCCCTCCCAAGGGGAAATCCCAACCCGGCAAGAAAAAACCCCCGTCTCCACTTTTTCCCATTCCCTCCGCGATAAGCCGTATACTTCCGTGGCTCTCTCCCCCGGGTTGCGCAACAATGCCACTTCGCGACAAGCTTCAACGTCATAAGGGATCCCTCAACACCAACACGAACACCAACACATCCACCTCTACAAACCAGTATGGGTCCACCACAGCTGGAGGAGGAAGCAGAGGGATGATGGCACCGACCACGCCCGTGAGCAGTAATCCCACCGTCCCGCAATTCACCTTCATCCGCACCGACACCACCACCCAAGAAGTGATCCGCCCGCCCGTCTTCGAGGGTGATGCCCCGGACCCCTCTGCACCATCAACCACAACAGCCACAGAACAACTCTCCCCCATTTCCCCGCCGTCCTCCCACCATCGCAAATCCCTCAACCCATTCCGTCGGTCGCGAGCTCCCTCACAATCCTCAGGTGTGGCGTCCCCGCCGCGAGCCCGGGGCGAAGGCCGGCTGTCGCATCTGCTGCATCTCGATCGCGGCGGTGGTAGCGGTGGTAGCGGCGGCGGTGGCGGGTGGTCGCGGAGTTCGAGCTCCTCGTCCGTCAATGTCCCGCCAGATCTTCCGCGGATAATCACTAGTGGTGGGAAGGGGGATGGTGATGCTGCTGCGGCGCGGGAGGATGTGGAGGCCGAGTGGGAGCGGCGGGCGACGGTGCTGGTGCAACGGAATCCGCAGTTCGCGGCGTGTTTGTCGCCGACAGGTTCTACCACGCCCACCGGGTTTGGGATGGACGGGGCGGTGGCGTCGCGGTCACGGAGTTCGAGTTGCAGTCGGATTAATGATCCGGATGGCGATGTAAGTTCTTTTGCGTTCTGGGTTGGAGGAGGATAAGGGGTTGTGTGGCTGACGCGGACGTGGGGGTGAGAATAGGTTAACATCCAGGAGGCTATCCGACTGCATGAGGCTGGAGGTATGTGTTCGTCCTTGCGGGAGATTCTTTATTGTTGTGCGGTCATCGCTAACTTTGTGTGTGCATGATGTTAGATCTGGAACGATCCACCGAGATGTTTGGTCGCTTGGCCGATCCTGAAGGGGCCAATAACGCTCTCAGTCAAGTGCTCTACGGGCTTGCACTTCGGTAAGACCTGGCTACGGTTTGGGGTTGGCTTGGTGAGGTTCATCAGTCTGACACCGTTCTTAGACATGGCTGGGGATGCGCGCCAGACCAGGACAAGGCGATTACGTATCTATCGGCCGCGGCGGCCAATTCGGCCTCGGTCGAGTCCGAGGCGCTCCAGGCCGGCATCAAGAAAGGGGGAGCGGCCAAGGGCGAGCTGACGCTGGCGATCTTCGAGCTGGCCAACTGCTTTAGGAATGGCTGGGGCGTCAAGAAGGACCCCGTCGCGGCACGACAGTACTATGAGACCGCCGCCAACCTCGGCGATACGGACGCGATGAACGAGGTTGCTTGGTGCTATTTGGAGGGGTTTGGAGGGAAGAAGGACAAAGTAAGTTTCTTACCCCTGGGAGCTCTGTTCAGCTCGGGCATCAATATTCTGAGGCTCGTTCGCATCACTATGGACTTCTCAGTAAAGAAGAAGTAAGAACTAATTTGGGGACATAGTTCGCGGCCGCCAAATACTATCGATTGGCGGAGGAAAAAGGGAGCAAAACCTTGGGAAATTCTTGGTAGGTTCTTACTTAGTAGTCTTCTCATCACCTGCAGCGAAGGGGGGGGGGGAAGAGGTGCGCATTGATAGGCGCTCGTGGAGTTTTGGCCGGGACGCTTCCAGCCAACCAACTGCCCGTTCCCCTCCTTTTGAACTACACTACCTACCGAGTGAAGTACTCAGGCTGACATGACGTTTTGATGGATGATGACAGGATCTGGAAGGACAAGTACAACCCGCATTGAGCATGTTGATATGGATTGTTGGTAAATTTGGTCTGATGACGACGGTCTAGCCCAAGTCCACGATCAGGCCGTGGTCTTTTGGGGGTGTGGAGCTGAGCGAGCTGAGCTGAACATGAATGAACAATTGATACCCTAGCAACAAGGCTGCGACTGAGACAGTCTCTCTCGGTAGCAGGCGTCAACAACGTGCCGTCCAACCCGCCTCACATGTCGACATCAGGGGACACAGACTTCGCACATAGAGAGTGGACGTAGACTCAGCGCTTATGACATGACCCCTTCACGTCATCTTCTCTTTAGACTTCACTACACTATACTACCTTTACTCCGCTGTAACGAACACAACAATAGCCAGTCTAGAGCAGTAGATAATGATTTCAGTTATCCTCTAACACAAAGAACCAGACCCATTTCATGTCAACCCTAGTCTCTGGCTCATTCTGGACCCCTAATCTCGAATTTCGGGAGATCCCCCAATCCTCGTCCTATGACTGTGTAGGTGTAGCCGTAGCTCCCACAAGTCCTGCGCATAGGCAATGGTAAACCTGACCCAGGGACCAGTATGTCCTTAGAGAAGGGTATACTCAACCCACCTCATCATATTCCATCTCATGCGTCCTGGCAACAGTGTAGATCTATCTATCTACCTTGACAATAAATATTAGCCAGAGATGTGAACAAAATCCCTACAGTAAAATATGATCAAGCAAACCGAAGCACAAAAAAGGAGCGTTTCTACCGACCTACCAACCATACCACCCAAACATGTCCATCCCCCACCATGCACAAGACATACTGTACGGTACTGTACATGAACGCATCCCATCCAGCGTGCACATCAAACGCAAAGGCAAACATACTGTACGTCAATATATGCATGCATGCATTCCACTCACTACATCTACATACATTGAGTCACCCACCCCAATCCCTTCTTACTAGACCTACCTCTTCTCAGAGTGTTTGTATCTGTATCCCTTTCGAATCCGGAATAAGCCTGGATGTACTGTACAAACAGTGTATCTCGCTCATGGCAATAGCAATAGCAATCGGATGGCAAGTAATGGCTAAGATTCCGCCTCGCTACTGCTCCTACTATCACTATTGCTATTACTACTGATCCTAGTCCTGGCCCTGGTCCTGCCACCTGCTTCTGCCCCTGTTGCTGCTCCTGCTACAGCTCCTGCTTAGCTACTGCTTAGCTACTGCCACTTGCTAAGCTCCCCCAGCCAGACAGCCCGTTTCCCATCTATGTCTAAGCCGGGGAAATGCACTGACCTTGAAGTATACATACAGTACAGTGCTCAATCCATACAGAGAGCCAAGAGAGGATGCTCGCTCGGATCCTTCATGTTCATTCTCATCCCCATTCCTTTCTCGACGCGACGAGGCAGTGTCCCGTCTGACTAGTATAGCATCATTCTTACTTCCTCAAGGCAGTGAGGCAGTGCTTTTTACTTCTGCTTCTACCGCTCCAGTTCAACGGAACCAGCTATAGAGATCTAGAGTCTTTCTTACCAATAACCAAGATCATAAGATTTCCCAAACTCATCCCCAGATGCATTGTCAGAGCAGATTTTTATATACACCACCAACAACAACACCGATAAATGCACAGATGCAGACAAAAGAGACGAGTGTATGCAATTCTGTACCAAACGAATGAATATGGGGACTTGACTGCCACCAACCCACTATCACAACCATAACCACCAGCATCAACCAACTGCTGCAGTCAGTTGGTCATTAACCAGTAATCAGATGTGAGTTAGTTAGGTCAAGTGGAAGCTCCCTCCAGCAATCTGCACTGCATCAACAACTGCAGAATGCTCCAAAAAAACCTGTCTGACAAAGGAGAATGAGAAAGAAGGTCGGAGTACCTCCCGAAAGAAGACTCCACAAAAACCAAATCCAGAACCAAGAACCATAACCAAACCAAACAAACCATCATCAACATCATCATCGTAAACATTAAACCATCCCTCCCGAAAACATAACATAGCATCGTATCGTAACACATAATCATAAAAGCTGCCGCCCTCGGCTCCCAGCCCAGTATCCTCGCAATGCAAACCCAAAATCAAATAAACCCGAATAGAAAACACGCCGCAACGAAAAGCGAGATCAGAAGCGCTGCGCTAGAGCATGTCAAAGTCAAAGTCAGTTGCCGTCCCGTTTGTTCTGTTGTTCCCGCCTGTTAATTTGTTCGTCGGAGATAAACACAGTAGAGGTCCTCTGCGTATTCCGGTAAAAAGTGTGTGTGCACGAATTCCAAGGTAGGCTGCCACCACCGACCTTGGAGAATATGTTCTGGATCAAAGCGAATGTGCAAGAAGTAAACTGAGTCAGTCTCGCGTAAGTTGTGTAAGCATGTACACGAATGCAAGGTAAGCCCGTATTGGCCACCCCATCGTGAGGGGTGGCAGGAAGTCTGATCATAAATATACGCCGGCTTCACCGGCGAAGCCGAAGGAGAGAAACAGCGTAAGCGCGCCGGCAATAAAAAAAGAACAACAGCATCGCTAATTTGACAGACGTGATTCATCAATGTAATTGCTTAGCTGTCAGATATATCCAGCCGAGGTGAAGTGAATGGTTTGGTAAGTTGGTAAGTTGGTAAGTTGAGTAAAGCTGTCTATGTATATATGGGCTAATCATTCTGGCTTATCTGGGCCATGCGGTCGTGGGGTCGTTAAAAAAGGCACTGTCACTGTGCTGGAGAGAAAGTTGGTCTTCCCAGAAGACTCAAGGTTGCAGAAGGCGAAAGGATGAAGGGAACAGAACTCAATCAGGCCGCTTAAGATGTCTGTGATGGACGCAGAGAAGGAACGCAGGCAAATGGAGGAGGAGCGGAGGTGAGTGGGGTGGGTTCGAGGGCGAGCCACCAACCCAGGATCAAAAATTCTACTAGTGACCGAAATTGGCGTCTTCTTCCTTAACCGGAGAGACACCACAGTCTTGGACCATGCGGCGGAAGTCCCGGATCACCTTTTCAGGGACCCGGTCCCACATTAGAGATCGTGAGTAGACGTCGGAGGTGGCCTTCGTCGACATCTTGCTCTGGACACTGCCTCTCATGGCAGCCAGAGCTTGTTGAAGGTTCGATGGCTGCTGTTGCTTGTACTCAACACCAGCATCGTCGTAAGTAGTCAAAGAGTTGTACTGGTCCGCATTGAGAGCAAAGACCTGCTCGTGCTCCTGCTGCTTGGAGGGCATCACCAGGGTGCTGTGAAGCTCATCAAGGTTGGACGGCGCCGCAGTGCCAGTCATCTGGGCCATCTGGGCGCCAGTGATGGTGCTAGGCATAACGCCAGCAGCCGAGGGAGCGACAGCGGCCTGACCCATCGGCTGGGCAAGCTCGGGAGGAGACGACGACAATACGGCCTTCAGCACGTTGGCTGATTCCGCGCGGTACTCCTCCGAGAGCTGCGGCATGGAGCGGGCGGAAAGCGAGGAGCCGTTCGATGCCACGAACGCGCCGAACAGCAGGCACATGTAAAACGCATTCCAGCTGAATGGGTAGTCGCTGTTCGCCTTATCCTTCTCGTTCGATGCGACAACCATCGAAGTCGATTGGGCAGACGGGGCGGCAACTGCCTCGGCATCCAGAGAGAGACTGTTGACCATCGTGAAGTCCTCCCAAGGGCTGCTATCCATCGTCAAGTTCTCAAAGTCAGAGAACTCCGAGGGCAGATTCGAGGGGGCCGATGGTCTGGCGTGACGCTCGAGTTTCTCCACGGTTTCCTTGAGAATGTTGTTCTTCTTACGAAGCTCAGCAGTCTCGAGGGTGTGCACGCGGATCAGCTCGTCCTTCTCCATGTGCATCGTGTTGATGTACTGGGTGATCTCCTGCTGGGCGGCCATCCATTCGCTCTTCTCGCGAAGGAGCTCCGCCTCTCGGAGGCGCATGTTCTGCAGCTCCTCTTCGAGATCGCTGATGATCTGCGTGAACTGCTTCTTCTCCTCTTCCAGCTTTTCCGTGTGCAACTTCTTGCGCTGGCGGGAGTCCAATCTAAAGTGTGGTTAGTGAGGTCATTGCGCGTGGGAGGAGGGGCACTTACGCCGCCTGGCGGTTTCGCAGCAGCCGCTTCTGCTGCTTCAATTCCTTGATCTCCTCCTCATTGGTCGATTGACTGATGAGCTGATCAATGTTGCTCAGCGTCCGCTCTGCAGGGATCTCGAAGCGGGCATTCTTCTTGCGGATGCCGTCCCGGCGCATGCTCAACGGGGAGCTGTTGCGGTAGGTGGGACTCTTGGTTGGACGGGCCACGGCATCGGCCATGTCGGTGGCGGCAGGCATCCAACCCTGACTCGATTGCGGCGACATAGCCACGGCGGCCGGGTGGGCGAAGGCCATGCCGGGCCGGTAAGACATGGAGGGGATGTTGATGGTGCTGACGGGACCAACAGCGCCGCCTGCGAACGGAGCGGCGGTGCTGTGGTCGAGCTCGGAAGGGAAGTGCTCGTACATGGCGGTGGGAGTGCATGCGCCCGAGTCCTTGGACAGGGACCACGAGGCCTGCTGAGCGTATGCTGCGGACGGGTGAGCGCCGTCGACGCGCATGAAAGGATTGGGGGCGGATTCAAAGAAGGGGTGGCCGACTTGGGAGTTGTGGCGGGACTGGTTGCTAGAGACAGAATGAGAGAAGTCGGACCAGACGGAATCTCGATGCGTGTATGCATCGGGTGCATGATCATATGAGGGTCTGCGGTGGTCGGCAGCTGAGGAAGCCATATCGGGGGAAGTAGAGTCCAGGATCTTGTCGTCTAATACACTCATCTCATCCTCTTCGGGAAATGCAGGTTTGGCATCCAAGGTAGTAGGGGATTGTTGATAGAAGTCAAATGATGACGGTTGGGAATATCTCGCCATGATGGTAGATAATGTGAATGTGATGGAGGGAGAAGAAATGGGGGAAGAAGAGGAAGAAGAAGAGGGCGTTGGTCGTGGCCCAAAGAGAAGCAGTCGTGGTAATAGAACCGACTGGCAAGAGGCGGTGTGTAAAAAATAAACAGGTCGAAAATGAGGTGCGGGGTTGGCGATGGAGGCTGGTGGGCGATCAAAAGGCAACGATGATCGTTCACGAGAGATAATGAGGATAGAAGTAAGAAGTAAGAAGTTAGACAAGAGCGAGACAATGAGAAGAAAAGATGTCTCAAATGGTCTCGACGAGGGGAGGAGGAAGAGGGAGTATTTAGAATGCGCGAGTAACGGAGGAAGAGGATTGGTGGTTGCAGGCGCGAAGGAGGCAAAAGTGGAGGCAGGGAAGAGGGCGAGGAAGAAGGAAGTATATCAATTTCTCTGTTGGAATAGTGTAGTGGTTGTTGTGGTTGTTGATAATGATGATGTTGATGAAAGGGGAAGAGAGCAAGTGACAAGCGGGAGGGGAACGAGTCCATACATATACCTAACTTGCAAGTATCGATTCGATCTTGTAGTCAGTCAGGATCTCTTTGATAGGAACCTGAAGTTGGTCCCTGAATAATGTCTGTCTAGAGAATGGGAAAGCATCCAAATCGTACTAAATTAGAATTAGACTCCCAAATCCAAAACAAAGGCGATTAAATTCCAAAATCATAATTCTGGTTAATTGCGAGATTTTTTAAATTCCCAAGAGAATCGATGCTGACCCAAATCCCCACAGGATGCCTACTGAACCTCCTGTGAGATCGAGTAGAATCTACAAAGTAAAAGAAAGAGAATAAAATTAGAGAGCGAGATAGAGAGAGAAATAATCCAACCAACCAACAACAGGAAGAATGAAAATAATGACACTTCCCAAACAGGAAGCCCACTATACTGCTACAGTCTATAGTACACAGTATACTACCAAGTTGCACCAACAATCCTATGGAATATGGATCTCAAACCAAACCCACAGCTTCCACTCTTTTTCTAAGGGGACTCCATCAATCCCACCTTTAGCTTCAATGGAATTAGCCAGACCCATCGGCACGCCAAACCATGAACTCCTTAGTTAGTTCCTACTCCATTCTTCTCCCTCAAGCCCAAGCCAAAACGAAGAAGCCCATCCGGCGGTCAGCGGAAAAGTCAAAAGACGAGGCGAGGATTTCTGACTGTTCCCGAGATTAACGAGCCGCCATCATTGGATGCTTCGTTGGGCAGACGTGCAGCGGAACTGGCAGGGGAAAAAAAAATAAAAGAACGACTCAAGACAAAAGAGAGAGAGAGAACAATGTTAAAACATGAATAATCAATGTCTCTTTTGACGAACGAATAGCGATCATGACGCTTCTCGTGCTCCTTGACTATCTACCTATCTCATGGGCGCGGCGCTTGCTTGCCTGCGAAGAAACTTACTGACATACCACATACATACATGTATACATAAATACATAAAAGTCTATGTACATACTTTAGTATATACTCTAGTTAATATCTAATCTAACTTATTCTTCGTGCTGCTGCTGCTGCTGCTACCGCTTCCCTCTGATCAACCGACGGAAAGGAAAAAGAAGTTGGCCCGTGATCTACCTCACAGGCCCTCCCCTCGCTCACACGGTCCTTTCGTTCGTTTCGGCCCCGATCGCCCTCTAGCCTTTCTAGCTGGGATCCGTACTTTTGGTTTCTTCTTGGTCCATGCGGACGGAGTAGACTACTTACTCGGTCGGTCGACTCCGGGTGCGCAGTGCACTGCACAGTGCACTGTGCACACAGGGCATACAGTAGATCTACTATGGCTTCGCTTGGGTACAGACTGCACATACTCCAGCACGATACGGTACAAAACAATAGGAGAAAGCGCAATAAGCTCCCCAAATGCGATGCACATCACATCAGTATCGTGCAGGACTGGCTTTGCGCAGGCAGAACGAGCGAAGCTAGAGAGGTCAGATTACCTGGATCTCAAAAGGAAGGTCAACCCTAAGCCGCAAAGCTAACCTAATCCAAGGTTGGAAGTGGAAGGGCGGTAGGACTGACTGCCGTCGGTGTCGGTCATTCCACCCCTCTCTCAGTCTAATTCCAACTACGATGGAAGACCTAACCTGGTAGCCCTCGCTGCCTTCTCGTATGTCATCAGTCAGTCAGTCAATCACATAAGTCGTAAGCAAGATACACCATCCTTCGCTGAAGTCCGGAGTATCACGTTCCCGTTGCCGGACGGGAGAAAAAAAAAGGGCAGTGGTGGTCGGTATCTGAAGGCAAGAAGCGATAGGATTTCTGATGGATGATAGCGATAGATCCCATGGATGGAGGAGGGAAAAGTGGGGCTGCCAGTTCCCACCGGTTATCGATAGCCTATCGATTAACGGCTCAGACTGACCCCTCTAACTTACCTAGTACCTGCCTACACTATACGGTAACCGTCGCAGCCCGACAAAACCCGCGCGGCAGGGCTAAACTTCTGGGTGTTCGTGATGTTTTTCTTCAAACGGTTTCTCATCACATCTGTGGCCGAACGATTGGTACCTGGCCGAGCAAATGACTCGGGAGGCGACTGTATCACTGGTTCCCATTTTCCAGTAGGCACTGTACCTGAACCAAGGGATGGGAGGGGGGGATGGTGGGTTACGTTAGCAGAGCTACGGTGCGCATTGTGGACTGTGGACTGTGGAATGTGGATGGAGGGGCCGTGGTCCGTGGCCCGTGGGTTGGTCGTAGCCCACCGGTCGTTACTCGGTACTGGTAGCCTCGATGCTGCCCGAACGAGTGATCGTCTGTGCGCGTTTCTCAGTCAAGGTGCATCCCATTTCCTCACCCCCTCCTAATCGTCCCATGATCGCTTCCTGGGGAGGGACATGATGAGCTCTGCTTTATTTTCCGGGAGCAGGAATCGTACTTTATCAGACAGTGCGAAGGGATACCCACTCAAGTCTGGTGCGAGGAGCAGCAGAGAGGGGGAGGGGGAGAGGATCAGATGGACAGAGGGACGGGACGGGTGTTGTCATACAATACGGGTAAATCAGGACGAGCTGAGTCCGTTGCTCGGTTGAGTCGAAGCCAATCGATTCGGGACCGGTGTGACATTGAAAATGAGAAGTGGCCTAGTCGTAGGCTAGATTCCCCGATGACGATATAATTCTTGTGGTATTGTAGTTAGCCGTTCTTCCCAGTACATAGTAGTTTGTTGTTTACTGTGGACTAAAGTAGAGTATGTAAACAATAATCCATCTCTGGTACCGTTAGGGCCGGCCCGTTCATTGAGATCCAGTGATCCAGCCCAGACCATCCCATCTTGGTCTCGGTATGGTTTAGCGTGGGTTATTGCAACTGCCCGCTCCGGTTCTCGACACGCCCGGTGCATTACACAAGAATGCAATTGCAAAATGCACACCTGATGCAGAGTCAGGTCTACAGTACAGTATACACCACAGAACCAGCATCTCTGATGAAGAATGACGCCGAGTCAGGATCGAGGATACGAGATCCGGGTCAACCGCAGCGAGCGATAACCGAGCTGAGCTATGGAAGCTACTGAGTATGCTTGGGGTATCCTCTTTAGGTATACGCACAGAGGGGGGAGATACCACGAGACGAAGGGGGTTGAGTGAGCTTAATCGCACTCGTCATCTGCATTGTCTATCGCGAGGTACTAGGTAATCGGGAGTTACCTCATCTACCCACCTACATACAGTACAGAGGAAGTTTAGTAGAGAGTGATTATGTCATTAGGATTCGTTCCTTGGAACAGTACCTTCCAGTGCATCAAGTCTCCTAACGTACGAGTACCTCCAGAAGCATCACTCTCTACCCAAACCCCGGAACCCCAACAACCTGCACCCCAAGTAGTCACCAACACTATGCCTAACATCTCCGTAACTGCTAAGAATAAACCAAACCACCCAAACAACCCAAGACTTCAACCCCTCAGCCCCAAGCCCCAAACCACCGACCCAAACCTACGGACCGTGACCCTGCGCCCCAAACCCAGCAAATTAACCTCGTTACCCAGTATTGTACCTCACCAGCTACCACCATTAACCACACTGCAGTCCTTGTACATACCGGAAAAAAAGCACAAGTAAGGCATCAGTGCTTTCCTCCAACCCCATGCCATGCGGGGAACACCACTCACCTCACCTCACCTCATCACATCACTTACCTAGTACCCTTCCCCTTTCCCTTCCCCTAACAGCCTACCTCCACCCTTACCCTATAGCATACCCAGACCCGTACCATAAGCAAGCCCATCAACCCGCTCGGATCGCCGAAGGGAATGGAACCCCAACTCTTCTTCCGAAAAAAGCAGTGCAGTGCACCGACCACCAATCTGGACCCCCGTCTGGCACCGGGAAAGCGCCACGAGTGAGGCGAGAGTCCTGCTGTCGGGGAGCATATCTAGGTAGCTTTTGGGTTGAAATGGACACTGCACGAGGACGGCAGAAAAGCTAAACCTAGATGCGGGTTCGGTTGCAAGACTGTAAGACTTATGTCGTGCATTTGGCATGCTATCCCTGTTCATTCTTGGTTAGTGGGCAGTTAGGGGGTAGAGGTAAAGGTGCAGCTTTGGTGTGGTGTGGTGTGGTTTGTGCTTGGATAGAGGGATGGGGCTACGCTGTAGTTTTTTAATAGGACGGGGTTATGCTGTGCTTTGTTGTTTCGGTCTCGGGGATAGGATTATGCTATAGGTTTTGGAAGGCACAGGATCTGAAACACGAGGACGTTATTTTGATGATGTTTGGCACTGGGAAAGTGTGGTAAGGCTGATCTTGTGGGTGTTTGGGTTGTAAGGGCTGTACTATTGTTGCGTTGGTGCGAATGTGGGATAGGGATTGATACTTTGGAAGGGAGCAGTAAAAACATTGTCGAGAGCAACAGCATAGAATCTCCTATCTACTCTTTTATCACTAGTAATAGAATTCGTAGCTACTTCCAAGCACTAAACCACTAACTATCATCGCACTGACTAGCAATAGTTATACAGCCTCGTAGTACACACCCGCATAACATCAATCCTCAAAGCATTATCTATCGCCAACCAACAACAATCTGAAGAAAGAGAAAGTCATGTTCCCAGGCACTACTATCAGTCAAAAGATATTTGTACCGCGATACCCGGCCCAGGTTACTCATATAGTGCAACACAACACGCATACAGTACATGCATACACAGCTAGATACACTACACTACACTACATACAAACATACATACAGACGTACATCCACATGCATTTGCAGCTCAGATCCAGGACAAGAGATACAAGATTCTAATGTTGCAAAGCTCGGCCGGTAGCTAGCTTCTATACTCTTAGTTTACTCTAGCATCCCCTCTATACTAAATCTTTACCACAAGTTAGGCTATAGTACTATGCTCTCAGTGAAGCTACAACCCAAAGCCCATACCCTCCCCCAACTATGATGAGAATATCCAGCAGTCCCAAGTAGCAAATGCCATCTCATTCCGCACCCCGGTCAAAGATGGGGTACATACACACATACATACCACGCCTACCGAGTTACATACAACACACCTACAGCCAACAAATAACAAACCCAAACCCCAAACACCAAACATAACCGATACCGACAACTAGAAGCCAGCAAACAACGCGCGACATACCTACTACCACCCTCTACTGGGATGCAATCGTCTAGTTCACATACTGTACATACCGATCAGAGAGTGTAATTACCACCCGACTAACGCAGTATGCAACCACTAACTAAAAGCAAGGCACAGAGTTTCCATCCGTTTCCAACGGCTGCGGGTATGGGGATGATGAGTTGGTGTTTCAGATTAAGTCCATCCAGTAGTCCCGCAGGAGAAAGAGAGGCTCGTGATAGGTACCTAATAGATAGATATGTGGAAGGTTGTCGGTTGTTATGGGTCTGCCTATCGTCGATGTACAGTCCAAAATATCGTGGTGGTGGACAGCTACAACCGGCTACTGGAGCTTGCAGGTCCCCAGACCAACTAAGGATTGCTAAATACTCCCAAAGATCGATAGGATAGGGAATTCGAATTCGAGGGTCAGGTTGATTCGATGCCTTGTTCTTTGGGTTGATCAAACCATCGGCTATCAGATATCAGATATCAGATATCATTATTGCGAACCTTCTTACGAAGGTCAGGATCGAAGCAAGGCTCCTGTCTGCATCGAGGACTACGGTGCAGTACATGATTCGCTGCTCTAAACTGACACAGAGCTTGACGGATCCGCTGCAAGCACTGCACAAAGCTCGAATAAGAGATCTTCTAGAATTTTTACCGAACCCTGATCCCACTCCTAGCTACGGTATGCATCCGTCGCTTCTCGCGATAATCGCGTGAAGGGCTAGCTATGCACAGTGCCTAGAAGAGAAGAAGGGAGCCGGGGGGGGTGGGGGGGAGGGGATCAGTAGCTCTTCGCGCCTCGCTCCTCTCCCCTCTATCGCCATGCACAAACTAATCTCCTGCTCACCCGGTTACCGTTGCTGCAATGCATACATGCACGCACTTACCACCCCGAAAAAGTCCCCGAGATCATCTTCTGCAACACCACAACCAGACCACACGGTAATGGTTCAACAAAAGGACTGATGCCAGATTCCCCCTCTCTCCCCACCTCGTGTGCCACTCCCCTCTACACCGAAGACAAATCACAATCCGACAACGCACAAGAACCCCCCCCAAAGCTCCCAATCGGATGTGGTAGTCGGTGAACATGAAACATGATCCAGGCGAGTGTTTTCCGAGCGGTAGGCAGGAGATTTTTGGAGGTGCAGATGGGGAAGCATCAAAACCAAAAGAGGGAGGGAGGCGAACAGGTACGGTGTACGTGCGTGGTGGGTATACAACAAAATAAAGTGTGGGGACCTGGTTCCTGGATAGAATAGGCCGTGCGTGTGTGGCGTACGTAAAAAAGAAGCGGTCGAACAAAGTTTCCGCCGTCAAAAAAGTCGCCATCGCGGAAAGAAGATCACCGTCCCCGGCATTATATTCAGAACATAATCTCGGTGACAGCCACTGTTCCGGGTAATTGCTCGGCGGAATGAATTCCCAGAGATGTCATTCTGGCGGTGTACAGTACAAAGGGCCGGCGGGAGACCCAATTGGGAATGTTTAACGGTGGAGCTGGAGCGCTCGATGTCAAGGCAGACGGATATTCCAAGTGAATGCCCCTCTCGAAGCAAAGGGTATCAGTATCATAGTGGATATTCTAAAGCTCTGTGAGCACTCTTGAGTCAAGTCCGATGGTTACGATGTAAGTAACCACACATCCCCGTGGTAGATCAACAACCACGCACGGGAGAAAACCCTCGAAAGTCAATGAGTGCGAAAGGGCGATCAAACCCGCCTGCAACGCTTATCCCGACCAGCAGAGCCGTCCGGTAACTAGCTATGCTAAGGTTCAAGTCGGGAAAGAGGTCAATAGCCCGGTTGTTGCTCGGTTGCTTTGTAAATGATTGGCCCGTAAATCAAGAATGTGATTGCATGATGTGATTGTTGCCCAACGCGGTAGCTACCGATACCTAGTTACGGCGTAGGGCAGAGCAGCCATTGCCCGGCATTACTATGTACATCGTAAGCCCCAAGTTCTAGGAATGCGAAGCATTGGTGGTGAGGTCCTTCAAACATCTGCACTCCGGGGATGGTTGCAAAGGATGACACCAGGGACGAACAGTAATGACAGGAAGCGTCCGTTCACCCACGGAGGTGTGTTTCGACCGGAAACTCTCCTTTCTCATAGGCCAATAATTCATGACTACTGTGTAGCATCAGCCTTGAACGAAGTAAGGTAGAGAGCTTGCGGAGTGTTTCAACCTGACCTGATCTACGTGTAACCACGAATCACGATTCGTCTGAGCGGGTCCGACAGTTAGGTCAAAGATATCAGAACCACGCGAGATAGAGGTTCAGTCAGCCCGACGGATGAATCGGTAGGTACCAGGAACAGCAGAGGATGACGGGGGCAAGCGCAGCGAGGATGGAGAAAATAGGAGCAGCACGATGTGGACCGAGTCAGCACATCCCCTCAAGTCCCACTTCCTCCTATCGGAAGAGAGTCGATATTTCCCCCCAGGAAGTTAGTGAACGAGGTCCTGCAGTTTCAGGTTCTATTTCCCGGGAACCAAGGGAAGAAGGAAGCTATTCGGTATTGACAGGAAGAATGACGATTGGCGGGGAAAGCAGCTCGGTCCCCAATGAGCGGTGATGATAAAGAGCTGAAGGAAAAAAGGGGAGAAGCCAGAGCAGAAGTAGCAGCAAACAGAAAGAATCAGGCACGGATTTGGCTGCATTGCTGCATTGCTGCATGGACCAGGGGGATCGGATCGCCTTGTCATGCAGCACAACATGTGTGATATAGTGTATGCGCTATGCGCTATGCGCTTGTTGCGGTGGGCGTTCGGACCGCCTCTTGCTCCTCACTCACGGTCTGTAGGATCGTTATTGAGTGACTGACTGACTGACTGACTCCCTATGCAGGTGCGGTGTGAGACGATTCCCCACGGATACTGCATTCAGCTTCCGTGGAACATCGGATGGCCACCAGCCCACCAGCAGATCAACGCCTCGCAAACATGAAACAGTCCCTCTTCTTACCCCAGGAACACGCGGTCACCGTCTGACGGACTTGAGCAGCGCGCGTTAGGTAGGAATAGCACTACCTACCCAGACGAAAGGCCTTACCCCATGAATCAAATGAGCATCAGATGAAGCAACCAGTGATGCGGCGAGGTTGCCAGGAAGAGTCCAGCACCGTTGGTGCTCTAGCTTGCAGCTTCTCCTCGCCGACCCGGGCGGAGAAAATGGGCCCCTAGTTCGTTCGGAGAGATAGGAAGGAGGAAAGAAAGGAAAGGGAGCCTGCATTGCATTGCATGTTCATCGGATGGGGATCCACGGGGTGTGGATTTGAATGTGGATGTCGATGTGGAGGGGGGATGGGAATGGGGTTTGACACAGCATAGATACTTATTCGAGTTCTCTATTAGGGGTTAATTAGCCGGATTAATGGAATTTGAACAAGTAACTAGCTTGAAGTCAAGTCAGGTAAGATAAGGTAGCTAACCTAAACTACCTGATGATCACCGACTATTCACTCGGTCGAGTGACTCACTGATGGGTACTGCCTGATCTCCCCTCCCTCCGTCCCCCTGGCTCATGATTCTGTATGTACTGGGGAGGTGCAGTACGGACTAAATCAGACATGAAGATTCGAAGCAGAGCAGTAGGGATGGTCCTGCAGCGCGGGGATTTCTCCCTTCCTTCATTCGTTCCTCACCATAGTCAATGCTACACTGTACTCACCTGGAGACACGATCATCTACGGAGTACAATAACTACTCAATGCTCGCCCAATTCAAGTCCAAAGCACAGTCTCATTTCTATCTTTAATCAATTGACATAGGAAACATCCTGAGGAGGGGTATCATTGCCTGCAACTGGTACACGACAGACAGTCCATGAGGTATATAAAACTTATTCCAAAGCAAGTCTGATTTCACTGTCTCCATTCCTTGTTTTTGTTTCTTCTTGCATCCCAGTTTCACTTTTTCTTTTTTTTTTCACTTCGTCTTATTTCAGATTCTGCCAGCGATCCTATTCAATTCCATACTATCACAGCCAAGTGTCAATTACAAACTGCTACGGGTGTCAGTGGGCAAAAGGGTGAACAATTAGAGGGGGACAAAGTCCTGCTGCCGCGCGAGGTCACCAATGTCATCCCCGGCAGCAGCGACGAGCTCCGGCTCATCGTCGTCGAGATCGTCCGAGTCGACGTCATCCGAATCGATTGCGTCGTATTCTTCGTCATCGCTGGAGGCGTCCGACGACTCCTCGTCATCATCGTCGCCCTCAGTCTTGGTGGCGGCATTCTTCCTGATCTGCCCAGCGCGGTCGACATGGGGCAATCGGCAGTTTTTCTTATGGCACACGCCCGTGTTGGCGTAGTCGGGACACTCGTGCACGTGTCGCTGGTCGCACTCGGCGCCTTTCTCGCAGTATCCTAGAATGGCGAAGTCTCTGCACACAGGAGCGCCAGGTGTCACCCGAACATGGGCGTAGCGACACTCGGGGTTCGCGCAGCGCCCGCGAAGAAAATGCACACATGCAGGGGATCGGTGGGGCGAAGGCTCATGGGAGAGATCGCAACTCATACCTGAGTTGCATTTACCAGTCTGGAGAAAATCCTTGCAAATGGCGACTTTGTGGGGGTCGTGCGTGTAGGGACACAAGGGTCCTTTGTAGCAACTGCCTGAAAATCATCCGATACGCAGTCTGGTTAGCACTTATCCAAGGCAAGCAGACGGGAAAGGGAAGGGGAGCAAAGGGATAATAGACGGCCGAAAGCCTATCGTGGGGAAAGTGTCGGTACCCGTCGTAGTAAATCGCTGGCACAGAGCGTCCTTCTTCTTAACCGCCATCGGCTTTCTGTAATACATGTAAGTGCAAGCACATAAGGTTCAGCACAAGACAGTCACCTTTTCGACGTAACGGCACCCAGCCGATGCAGGTTACCATGCTTGCTGCGCACAAAGACCACCCCAGCGATCGTGACTCTCTTGGGCGTGTTGTTGGCCGTATTCGGATCATCTACCATCGGTAAGCCAGCTCTCGTACACAAGGGGGAGCATCTCAGAAAGAGAGAAAGAAACCAAAAATCTGGAAATAGAAACACGCACCAGACACTCTGATTAGTTTACTTCCGCCGCGCGCAACTCGGAAGGGCACCTCGTTGACCAGAACCTGGTATTCCGCACCCGGCTCACCCGCGGCAACGGCGGTAGCAGTGGTAGCAACCTGCGGCGGGGCGCCGAACCCCGACGGTTGATACATCCGACCATGGCCCTGCGCATACCGTAGCACTCTGGCCTGCTCGATCTGAGCCTTCTTCTGCGACTTTGCCTTGCGGCTCGCCTCCATCGCCTTGGCGCGCGACTGAGCCTCCTTGTCGTAAATGGCCGAGTTGATCAACTGCATGTGCCGGTCACGCTTCGCCACCCATTTGTTGTTGTTGTTGGTGGTGCTGCTGGCTTCCCCTTCAGTATCCGTCCCGACTCCCGCAGAAGGCGTTGAGCCGGGGGTTCCCGAAGCTGTGGTGGTGTTGTTGAGGATGAGCGTTCGGTGGCGGTGGGGGGCAGCGACAGGGCGGCCGCCGCGGGGGTGGTACTGTCGGCCGCGATACGGTGCCCAGCCTCGTCCCCGCGATGGCACATGCCGTGATGCATATTGGCCGGCGGGGATTTCGCTGGTGTAAGGGGACTCGGTGTGTTGATTTTTGTGTCGGTTGATCTGGCCTGATATCGAGGGGTTTAGCGGGTTGCAGCTGGATGAGGGCGCTCGCGCGCAAGGATGAATGAAAGCTCCGGCTTACCAGCAAGCTGGCTGATCTTAGCCATGAGATCTTGATCCTCTGTCATGGTGACGAAGTCAAGTAACCGGTCGCGTTAGTAAGTCTCTGTGAGATTAGGGTGTTGTCTGTTTTGGAAAGGTTGGTTGAGTCGCGAAAGGTCGTCAAGCTACTGAGCGTGTTGTTGATATGAGAGAGCGAGTGACGAAAGCCGTCAGCGGCAAATAAGTCACGTGATTACGTCATTCAACCGTGTAGACGCACTATGTACATGGCAAGAATGTTGATCCTCGCTGGGCCAAGGGAATTGGCCTTACTTGAAGTTTACTTAAGTATTGTGATACAATGAAAATCGATAACTGGTATGTGATGGGTGAGCCAGTGGTCTAAACCCTCACTAGATGTATCTAAAACAGATCTGTATGAAAACATCACTCCAGTAACCCAAAAGAGAGTGAAAGAAGAGAGAAAACGCCATGGCCTATGCAAGATACATCCCGTGCTCTTTAGACAACATTCTCAAACTGTGCATCGTCATTATCAGTCACCATTCCCGACGCCATCGGATCATCCTCCGAGGCATCATCAAAGTTATAGTCGAGACCAGGAGGAAGCTCCTCCTTGGCATTGCCATAGGCCATCGCGGTCGCATAGTTGCTCTCCTTGAATTCCGGCTTGAGCTCCCAGGTCATCGCGAAGTCTCCCGACTTGACCAAATGGGCCACCAACTCCAGAGTTTGCTTGAGATATGCCTCAGGCTGTCGTAGCCGGGCCTTGAGCGTCTTAAAAGGCCAGTACTTGTACTCGCGGAAGGCCTGGTAGATGAGATCCAGCAGCTCGTTCTGCGGCATACGCGTGGTTTTGTTCTCCTGGGCCTTGAGCTTGGCGGGCTTGGTAGCTTGCTGATCGGTGATTTAGCATAAGATCTGCATACAAGAAATTCAGTATATCCACAACTTACCACAAATGCACCCTTGTCGCTCGGCAGCGCATTCCGCGACTGGAGCAGTTTGCCCGGAATCTTATCGATGAAGACGGTCTCACGCTTGGGTTTCAGCGCCTCCATTGCCTTCTTTTCCGACAACATTCTGAATTCCTCGTTCTCAACCGGCAGGCAGTTAAACTCTTCGCCAATACTGCCAACCAGCGCCGTTTGTTCTAGTGTCCGGGTAAGCGACCACAACATCAAGCCCGGCGCCTCCCCCCGGATAATACATACTAGGCACAGTCTTGCGCACATAGGGCTCCCACTTCTTCTTGCGCTCCTTCTTCTTCATCTCGCGCTTCATCGACTCGTACAGCGCGGAGCGGGCCTCGCCGAAGACCACCATGCGATTTTCCTGGCCGGGAATATCTCGTTCCGTAAAGAGGTAGGTGTTTTGCGTCGAGTGCGATGTGATTTCCGTGTTTATCGTCTGTCGCTGCAGGATATAGTCTTTGGGGATTTCGCGGTTATCGTCTCGCTCGGGGATGCGCAAACTGACCTACACGGCGAGAGAAGCTCAGTGGTTAGCTCATGCGCAATTCATTCCCGACACCGAAGCTATCCCGAGCGGGGAAATCAAGCTCAATCCGGATCTCTTCCGGAATGGTCGCTTACTCGTTTGATATCGTTCGGCGTCCCTTCCACTCTCATCGTTCCGATCTGAACCTCCTCGTCGTCGTCCAGGTTGTTGGTTATGTTCGACCAATGCTCCCATAGCGACCGGGGCAGGCGCGAGAGCCACACGCTCCGCTGCGCCTGCGAGAAATCGAGATCGCCGGCATCTTCGTACAGGTCCTCGTCGTCGATGTCGGCGAGGACGGTGTCTTTGCTCTCGGGGTCGGGCTTGATGTATGGCGCCGTCTGAGCGTCTGGATCCTGCTTGATTTGGGGAACCATGACGCCAGACAAGTGGGTTGTTGCGGTGGCGCGAGATGTCGGGGAGGATTACGCGGGCGGCAGTTCACGAAGGCGAGGGTGTCTAAATCTCGAGATTGAGCGACAGCCAATGCAGTATCCGGGAAAGTGGTGAGAAAGGTGGACGAGGGGAAGAGTGAGAGTTAATTGATGGGGGGAGGTTGCATGCTTCGGTCTCTTTCTTTCTCTCCGCTTTGCAGTTCAACGGGCGGGTTTCAAGGCGGTGTGGCAAACTCTTGGGGGGGATTGGTAGAAACACTCCAGCCTGTGTTTTAGAAGCTTTCATTGAGTTCTTTGTTTAGACTCCAGTGTTCTTAGCTTATTCTTTGTTTCGGTTCACAGATGCGGTAGAACAAACTTACTGAGGCATAGCATTTCCTGGTTCATGATTACTAGCTGCATGAGACATCTGGGTAGATGCCTGGACAATAGTGATTGAAGGTAAAACTGATTGATAGAGGTAACACACCCCTGCATTAGATTCCGGTACGGTGACCATCCCAGCTATGACAACACCTTAGCAAGTTCTTGACCTCTCGCATATGCCCCTCTAGGTGTAATTCAATGAGGAATGGGCCAATTAAACTGTCAACCTCAAGGGTGAAGACCGTGGTGTGTTATGCCTTGATCAGAGCAGAAGCAACCTCACAGGGCCGAGCCGCTTATCGATAAGCGATCCTCCACCTCCAGCTTCCATCACCGACGTCTGCCACCGACAGAGCAACACACCCCTCACCTTCTAATATCCAATCTGCCACGACATTTATGCCAACACTCCAACAGTCCTCTTAACAGCGCTCCTGAACTGTGAAAAGTTCTATCGTCCCTACCTTCTCACCATCCCCACCCCTGACAAACCCCTCTCGACATCAACACCATGGCCTCCCAAAAACTCACCTCCGCATTATCGGAGATCGAAGCCTCGACCAACACGCCCACCAAGCTCCAACAATACACCGACCTGCTCACCGAGCTCGTCAACACAACACCACCCGCCCAACTGCCCCAAGACCTCACCGCCTACCTGGACTCGATCCTCAGCGAAAGCCTCAGCATTGTAGCTGCCCGGCCCCTCCTCGACCACTTCGTCACCCTCCTCCGGCCGCTCCCCTCGGAGACCAAAATCGCCGTCGGCCAACACGCCGTGACCCTGCTGCAGTCACGCTCGACCTCCGTCGAGGAGCAAGACGCCTCGATCCGGGAGATCCTGGCGGACGCGTACGAGGCGGAAGAAGACTACATCGCGGCGGCGCGGGCGCTGCAGGGAATCCACATCGACAGCTCGCAGCGGCAGGTGACGGACCTGTCGAAGGTGCGGCTGTGGATCCGGATCGTGCGGCTGTACCTGGAGGAGGACGACACGACGAGCGCGGAGGCCGTCCTAAACCGGATCAAGAACCTGCCGACCAAGATCGCGGACCCGGAGCTGAAACTGCACTTCAAGCTGGCGCAGGCGCGCATCTTCGACGCCCGCCGGCGGTTCCTCGACGCCAGCCAGGAGTACTTCGGGGTGAGTCTGGCGGCCGGCCTCGTGGACGAGTCGGACCGGCTGCACGCGCTGGCGGCCGCCATCCGCTGCGCGGTGCTGGCGCCCGCGGGGCCCCAGCGCGCCCGCCTGTTGGGCACCCTGTACAAGGACGAGCGCGCCACCTCGGTCGACGAGTTCGCCATCCTCGAGAAGATGTTCCTCGATCGCTTGCTCGTGCCCGCCGAGGTCGCCGCTTTCGCCCTGCGCTTGGCCCCGCACCAGCTGGCCGTCACCGCCGATGGCTCCACCGTGCTGGATAAGGCCGTCGTCGAGCATAACCTTGTTGCGGCGAGTAAGCTCTACGAGAACATCACCACGGATGCATTGGCCGTGATTCTGGGGCTGCAGGGGAGCGGCGAGTTCACGGCGGGCGAGAAGGCCGAGGCGTATGCGGCGCGCATGGTCGAGCAGGGTCGCTTGAAGGGGACTATCGATCAGATCGACGGGGTCATTCACTTCGAGGCCGCGGCCGGGTCGTCGTCGGTCGCCTTCGGGAGGCATATTCGGCAGTGGGATGCGGGCGTGCAGAGTCTGGCGGAGGATGTCGAGCGCGTGGCTACGAGGATTACTGAGGCGTTTCCGGTAGGTGGGCCTGTTTCTTTGTGGAAGAGCATGGGGCAGGAGTGCTAACTTTGGGTCTAGGAGTTTGCTGCTGAGCAGGCAGCTGTGCATTGACGGTGCTCGGTTTTTTTTTCTGGGCGCAGCTAAGTTTTCAAAGGGACTCTTGTCATCTGGACACATTAGAATCTCTGCCGGTTGAGAGTGAGAGGTAAGGTCAAAAACAAGGAGGTCTATCAGATGGGGGAGAGCTGACTGGTGGGAGAGGGAAAGGATACAATAAATCATAATCTTCGTTGCAGTCATTAGCGTTCGTCTATTCTAAATTTTCTGTTCTATGAGATCAACAAGTTGAAAGTAAAGAGTGTATCAAGGTAGAGGAGGAGCGTAGATCCCTGCTACCTCATTTGGGGGTACTGTGTCTTTCCCTTCGCCTTGAATGTGAACACAGCCGAGGAAATCCGCCCTCGGGTCTGAGGGGTCCTGTCCAAAGGAAGCATACTCCTCCGTCCTCACCATAGGGTATACCACAATCCAGCTTTAAGCACCGCGTAATCCTCGCCGGACCATCTCACCTCATTGAGCCCGTACAGAGGCAGGAACGGAAGTCATCACCTCCCACCATTCACTCCACCCACTCACCTCCACCCACTCACTCACTATTCACCACCCAAACACCCCACCAAATCTTATCAGATCACCATCACCACCAAAATCCCCCCCCACATGGCAACCCCCTCACGTCCCAAAGAACACGTCTCCAACCCTAAAAGTGGATTTCCGTGATACGTTCACATCTCGCCAGCACCAGCACACCTGATTGGGGCCCCGTCGCGTCCACACGCCCCAAGTAACACAGCCAGGAGCTTCAGCCCTAGGGGTGGATTTTCGTGATCGGTTGACATCTCGACGCAGCGCGGTAGCTGATTGGATGGAAGGTATTTCAGACCCCTGGCGACGCGAACCGGGTAACACGGTCAGCCTTAGGTGTGGATTTTCGTGATGGTTTTGACATCTCGACACGGCGCTATGAGGGAGGTGGCGCGGTAACACGTGCGTGATTTGTGATGCCGGTTCTGTCTCGGGTGTTGCGCCTGGGTGCTGACTGGTTCGTTGAAGTTTGAGCGGTGGTTGGGTTAAGGCTTTAGCGAAGTCTGCAGGTCTCTTATGCACGGCCGTTCGAGCTATCCTCGCTGATCTTGATATCCGTGCGCACGGTGATGTCCATGGGGTGGTGGTGATGGTTGTAGTGGTTCGGCGCGAAGATGGACGAGGTCGAGCCATCGCGCTCGTCGGTCGAGGTGGAGCGCGAGCCGAGGCCTTCTTCCATTTTGTAGAACTCGGAGGCTGCCGCCGCCGCCGCCGCCGCAGCTGCAGCACCGCTAGGGGATGGCTTGGCGCCGGCGGAGACGACGAACTGTGAGGTGCTGACGTCGGTGGGGATGTAGTAGGGGGCGGAGCGGTAGCGGCGGTGGCTGGGAACCTTGAAGCGCGGGAACAGGCCGCGGATGATGGGCAGACACGAGCAGATGAGCCCAATGGAGGGCTCGACGTGGGTCCACAGCGTGGCCTGGTAGACGGTGTAGGTGGTGTCGGCGTTGTCGATCCAGAAGAGGACGATGATGCGGTAGATGCTGGCGAAGCAGACGAAGGCGCCCAGCGCGAACACCCCGTTCAGCGCCAGCTTATCCTGCCAGGCGCGGTGTAGCCCCCAGATCATCGGGATCGGAACCACCAAAATCACGAAGTCCATCAGCACGTTGAACGCCTGGTTCGTGATGATCAGCGTCATCCCGTCCAGGCATTGCCCGGCTACGCTGTGGTCCCAGTAGGCGCGCAGCGGCCGGCACTGCAGCGCGCAGGCCAGGAAGATGGCGATCCCCCACAGGGTGATCAGGATGTTAATCCCCAGGGTGATCCACTGGAAGGGCTTGGTCGTGAAGACCCGGCGGTAGAAACAGATGATCGAGATTTTGATGGCCGGGCAGAGGAGGAAGTAGGTGAATTGGTTGGCCAGGAAGATCTATGTATTCGGGCGGTCAGTTGCTTGATTGGTGTCTGTAGATGGGACAGATGGGGGTTTACCTTGTAGAAGTTCATCATGGTGTCATTGTTCAGGCTGTTTTGGTGGGCTCCGTTGCCTCCGATGGTCACCCCTTGGTGTGAGGTTAGCGGATTTTCGAGGTGATGGCAGCGTCGCTCGACTTACACAGCCCCAGTTCGATCAGCATGCCGAGGAGGAGTATAATCGACGCAAAGGAAAGGTAGTCGTCAACGCCAAAGCGTACTCTTCGCTTCAGTCTGGCGAACGCACGCAGTATGACTGCAATAAAGGCGAGACCGACCAGCACCGACACGATGCATATCATCTCCTTCCCTCTCATAGTGAGGACCATGGTGGATGTGTCGGTAAAGGTTTATAGTGGGATGAAGGGAATGGATAGGGGTAAAATGAATGACTGGGTATATGTTCAAGTGAAATGTGACAATCACAACATCGTTGATTGAGTATGTACACGAGGGTGGATCCTAGGCCCAAGCCAGCGGTATCAACGCCTCAGAAAAGTGTTGTAGCGATCCCAGATATTGACGATCGATATGGAGGCCACCCCCAGGTCGAACAGCAGTTAGCATAAACGAAGACAGAGGCTCACGGAATACGGAGGAACAAGTGGACACCCGCTTAATATGTAGACTACACATTGCATAGCCAGATCATATGAGAACCTGCCCGATGGGTCTCAGCAGAGGAACTCCGGAGCGAAGGATCCTCGCCTACTAGTGCTTGCGAACTGGCGCATTTGTCATTTATTGGAAGCTTGAGACATTGTGTAATGCACTGGGCAATCTCGTTCCCAGCTCGACACCGATGACTAGGACCACTTTACTGCCACGGTGGAGTAGGTGATTGCTTCGACATGGCAAAAGAGGCGTTCAGCCGCCGATCTTGAGAAAGTACGAGCCGAGATCAGAGGATCTGCGTCAGCTCGTGGCAAGGCAACGTTGGAGTTCGTATGCATGTAACCAACTCCCTATGAGGGGTTCTCTGCAGATGAGGTGACCGAAATCTTCTGCGGGTGGTTCGTAGACTCGGCCAAATGAACTTATACAGGGATTATCTTCCTGATGCATCGGTTATTCTAGAAAAGGCAGGAGCAGGAGCAACCATTGATGATGCGAATTATGCAAATAGAGTAGGAGGTGAAACCACGCACGACTAGCGGTTTGCAGGTGGGATGGCTCGTGCCAACTGAAATTGAGCTCCACCGTCCAAAGAGAGAGAGAGAGAGAGATTGGAACGAGTCAGTTCAAACTCCGACGGGAATTCGGCGCCATCCCGCCACGCTTGCCTCAATCGGCTCAGGGCGGGGTTCCGCGGGTTCGGACCATGGAGATTATGACGGTACCGATTTAGTCAAGCTTGACGACCATCGGCTTTCGATTGATTGCCTATATACTTAGTACAGAGTAATAATGCAACCGAGGCATCAGCCTCCTTTTCTCGTGACACAAAGTTGGAGAGAATCTGACAATTATGAGTATCAAGAGATGGAATCTTCCCACGAGTCGCGCACTCACCACCACGCTCTGCACCTGCATGATCGATTCGACTACTAGCCGGTCAAATTCGGTGTGGGCAGACAAATATGCGCATATGAATGGCAGCCTAGCAGGCAAAGAGGGAACTGTGATGGAGCATTTCAGCTGTTCTCTTCCCCGATCCAGATGATCATCGGAGTCAGATCACCCTTTGATTGAACAAGATGCCAGGAAGCCAGAATCCACCGAGTCTCCCCTCCGGCCAGGCTGCTCCACCACGCTGAGTGGATACCCCACCACCACAGACAATTGGAGTCGAAAATGAATCCTGTGCTTTCGGCCGTAAAGAGTCCAGAACCGATTCATCGCTTCACCAATTGATTGCGCTGACAAAAGTGCTCCCTCGATCTTTGCTAATGGGGGTTGTCCTGCTCTTCTTGTTGACTAGGAGCAATAGTCTACACCTTTCGCGGTGCTGGAACCATGGCCGGCAGCGCCGATCAATTGTCCGTGACGCCCAGAAAGGTCGTGCGTTACCTAAAATCAACGGCCGAGTGCCCATCGGTTAAAAAGGCCGGCAAGTCAGGGGATGACCTCCTCTTAAAAGGCACCGACAACAATGTCCACACACAGTTCTTAAATGGACAAAAGAATCACTTGGTGCGTCGTTTGGTGGACAAAGTTGAGTCTAGGGCAGTTAGCATTTTCAATAGTCTCAGTAAGGTTAATCCGCTGTCAGCTGGAATAGGTAAGAATCATCGTTAGGATTGACTTGCATGACGGCATACCATGTGCAAAGCATGTGGACAATGAATCACTTGCAGGATTAGCTTTAGGAGAAGCCTTTAGGACAGGTTGAGCATATTCAGTATAGCATTCAGAAGGTCCAATGCAAGGCCACGATCCGCATGACATGGAATAAACTGCACTGAGACCATAAGTACCAAGAATAAGTGATGGTTGATTGCACTAATCATAGCGATGTTGCTACAGTCTCTGGGCTGAGTCGGAAGTGGGGATTACCGTCCGACCCGTTCTTGTTGACCTGGTTTATTCTTCCCTCGCCAACCCAGCGGCCATACTTAAAATGAAGATCGCACTCCCTCTGTGGCGGGGTCCGAGCCAGGACCCTGCTGGTTTTTGCCAGGGTGTATATCAATTCCACTGCATGCTTTGATCTACTTGCTTGATTTTGAGTCTAGTATACACAGACCACCTACCTTCCCATCATGACGAATACTCCCCTCGCTACGAAACCAGCAGTGGCTGCACCTCCCAATCGTCCCCCGGTGATTCCCTTGATCATCAATGGAAAGGAGGAATTAGCAGAGTCTACATTCGACGTAATCAGCCCATACACCAACGAGCCTTGCTGGGCAGCTGCCTCTGCCTCCCCACAAGATGCCGTCCGCGCCGTGGAGGCAGCAGAGGCGGCGTTTTCAGCGTGGTCGCAAACAAAACCCACCGTGCGGCGGGATATTCTCCTGAAGGCGGCCGACATTCTGGAAAGTCGCCTCGAGCAGAACGCGGAGTACATGCGGACGGAGATGGGCGCAGATGTGGGTGCGTCGCAGTTCTTCATCGTTCCACTCGGGATTCGCATGCTCAGGGACATCGCGGGGCGCATCACTTCCATTTGTGGCAGTGTGCCCGTCGTTGAGGAAGAGGGTCAAAGTGCGATGATCTACAAGGAGCCCATGGGAGTCATTCTGGGTATTGTACCTTGGTACGTTTCGTGTTCTCCCAATCGTTGAGCAAGGCAGGCAACGCTCTCTCCACAACTCGGGGATGTGCGATTAGATTAACTGACTTACTTTTACTGACAAGGAACGCCCCGTACGTCTTTGGTGTTCGTGCGGCCGCCTGCGCGCTCGCCGCCGGCAACACAACGATCCTTAAATCCTCCGAAGCCACTCCCTGCAGCTACTGGGCGCTGGCCCGGGCGTTCGTGGATGCAGGCGTGCCAGCCGGTTGCTTTAACCTGATCTCCTGCCGGCCGCAGGATGCCCCTGCGGTGGTCAATGCCATGGTTGAGCACCCGGCGGTGCGCAAAATCAACTTCACCGGCAGCACGGCCGTGGGCAGAAAGCTTGCCGCGGTCTGTGGGCAGAACCTCAAGCCCTGCTTGATGGAGTTGGGCGGCAAGAACAGTGCCATCGTGCGCGCGGATGCCAACATTGAGACCGCCGTGAAGGGCGTCCTAGCGGGTGCTTACCTCAATGTAAGTTCTCTTTTTGCTATCCGTTTCCCTGGGGGGGAGGGACATTCTGACGCCACTGTAGTCGGGGCAAATCTGCATGTCCACGGACCGCATTCTTGTCCACTCCTCCATCGCCCCGACTTTCATCGGCGCGCTCAAGACGGCGCTTAACTCCAACCTTGACTCCTCGTCGCCTCCTCCGACGCTGGTCAACATAGCTTCCAAGAAGCGGGTCGAACGGCTGGTGTGGAATGCCCTTGAGAATGGCGCCCAGCTGCTTTCTGGCTCGGTGGATGAGAAGACAACCCAGGCTGGAGGTGGCGTGCGCATGCCCCCGATTCTTCTCGGCGATGTGACGGAGAACATGGCGGTATGGCAAGAAGAGGCCTTCGCTTCGTTGGCGGCCTGTATGGTGGTGGACAGCGACGAAGAAGCCATCCGCCTGGCGAATAACAGTGGGTATGGCCTGTCTGCGGCGGTGTTCACGGAGGACCTGCGCAAAGGTCTGGCGATGGCGCGGAAAATCCAATCAGGGTACGTCTCCTTCTGTGCCTGACTCCCGAATCCAGTTTGCTAACCGCCGCACTTGCAGTGCCGTCCATATCAACAGCATGACTGTCCATGACGAGCCCGTCCTTCCCCACGGCGGAGTGAAGAACAGCGGATGGGGCCGGTTCAACTCTTCCCAAGGACTGGAGGAATTCCTTGTCACCAAGAGCGTGACTTGGATGGACTAGACCCGACGTAAAAGCAAGCAAGCAAGCAAGCAAGCAAGATCCAAACGATCTGATGTACTGTACATAGAAACCTTTTCTTGCGCGGTGTGCATGATATCCCGACCGCCGTGAGCGATGAACCTGACATTCTTCCCCCGCGTGGACGCATCAACATGCCCCCTCCCAACGTATCCCTCCCTCGCGAGAGGTAGATATTATACCGAGAATCACCACTAAAAAACATCCCAGGTCGCACAAACAGCAGGGAACGACGAACCCACCAGCAGCAATTATCCCGAACCCCCGACGTCTCGTCCCCCTACGGTCGGGCTATCTCGCCCCGAGGGTCAAGCCCTATCCAGTAAGGTAAAATTACAGAAACAAGCTTCGCACCGTGCAACAATACAGCAGACAAATTCAATACCAAGCCAAGCCTTCAAGATCTTTTCTCTCTATCCCATCGCTCTGTTGATAACCTTAAACCCACCGCATGCAGATAGGGGTTGAGTTATGAGCATGACGGATGCGCGCATGCCCCGGGCGGCAACTGCACCTTCTCGATTCGGGAATTTCAATAGACGACAGCTTCTACGTCATGGGTGCAGCTTCGGAATTCGTATGAGGGCGAGCTGATTGGTGGGATTAAGTGGTGGTGTCAGCAGGGCAGGGGTGGGCAGTAGCCGACTTGTCTGGGTCAGGTGATCGATTGCCGATCTGGAGGGTAATCTGGCGTTAGTTACATGTACCATGAGGGCGGATTGTGGGGTATTATGGTACAGTACTGTGTCTTGTACGGTCTGGATGTTTTGGGGAGTGGCCGTTGTTTGTGTTGATTGATGTCGCTTGAGATAGTAGTATTGTTCTTCCAGGTGAGGAGGTAAGGGTCGGTGTGGCTCACTATTGACTCGGGAGGGGAAGTACTGTACTGAAGTAGATCAATCAAGCCACCATCTTATTCTTCGGTCCGAGGTACA